CTTCGCCAAGAATTTCGTGTATTTATGACCCATTACGCCTCTCAAGCGGGCACAGGTTTAGATTCATATTCCGCTCGTCGCATGATATCTTCCACAGGGCCGAGTAAGCGCTTGAAGCCATCCCGGCCCAGTTTCGCCACTTTCACCTCTGTCTTGGCCACGATGCTTGCGGCCCGTGGCTTGTCGTCCAACAAGGCTAGCTCACCAAAGTAGTCGCCGCGCTTGTAGGACTTCACAGGGCCCTCCACACCATTCTTGAAGGCCTCCGCCTCCCCGGATTCGAGAAGGTAGAAGGCATCACCTGGATCGCCCTCGTTAATGATCGTAGAGCCAGCAGGATATTTGATGGCGTCCAGAGCATCGGCGATCTTGGCACGCTCATACGGCTTCAGGCTGGACAGCAGCGGCACCTCCTCGAGGAATGCCTCGTACATGCGACGGCGCTGGAAGGCCGAGTCCATGAGGATCCGGCGGAAAGTGATGCGGTCCAAGGCCCAGAGGGTGCTCTTCGGGTCCACCGACACAACGGTGGCCGCGCGAGGCGCATTGTACATGAGAGCCAGCTCTCCAAACGAGCCTCCAGGTCCAACCGAACCGACTTTGTTGCCCATGCCCTCCGGACCGGGTTGCACAGAGCCCGACGGGTGGATCATGAAGTCAAAGTGGCCATTCTCTACGATGTAAAAGTAGTCTCCAGCATCACCCTGGCTGATGACCTTGATACCCTTGGCGGGGATAGGCTTCTCCACCAGGGCATCGAGCACACTCTTGAACTGGTCATCATCGAGGTGCGAGAAGAGGAAGTTGCTGCTGACCGCGGTCTTCAGCCGAGCCAGCTGCTCCTCTGATTTCTCATGATACGGGGGAGTCCAGCTATCTGAGCCAGCCGAGGTCGGGTTCAGTGACTCTGCAGAAACCGATGTCCGGCGGCCCAGCGCGTAGTTATTGGGGAATCCCTGATTCGCGGCGCCCGTGGGGCGGATGTCTTCTGGAGGGAACTCGTCGGCACCCTCCTCGTCCTCCTCTCTGGGCCCATTGTCGAAGGGACTCCTGTTGAAACGAATTGGACCGCTGTTATCGCCATAACCACCACCAAAGAAGGGGCTGCCGGTCGACGAGGATGCGGCAGCGGCGTTGGCAGATCGAAAAGTGGGATCGGTTGGTGACGTCACCTCGTATTCGTCCTCCTCGGAGATCTTCTGAAAAGCAGCGGCTTTGTCGTCTTTTGTGCCCACCCGGAGGGGTTGTTGGGCGCTGGGGAATGCACTCTCAGCCATGCTGGCGAAAGAAGGGCCGGAGAGAACACCGCTCCGGCCACAGTGAAGCGGGGAAGTTGAAAGGTCGGGAGACGGCGACTGAAGCGGCCGGCACGTAAGGACGGAAATGGTCTGAAGGAGGTCAGACGCTGAGCAAGACTTGGAAAGGCGAGCAGGTGAAGAAATAGAATGTATGTGCGGGAGAGAAGGAGAGAAAAAGTAGGAGGGGGCAGTAGTCATCAGAAAGCGAGAGTAGTAGTAGTAGCAGGGTTTGGAAAGGACGGGGGGAACAGAAGATGTGGTAGCACAAGCCCGAGAGAAAGAGAGGGAGGGGAGGGGAGGGGCGGGTAGGGAAACCGACCAGAAGGTCGTAGCAGCAAGCAGATTGGAAGGTGGCCGTGGATGGAACAGAAATGGGGGATCCAGTCAGGGAAGCAAGATCATTGATGATTGGGGTCTCCGCTAAACAGTGTGGGTATTGGGTCCAGCAGGTCTCATTGGATGTCCGCTGTGGTACGTTTTTCTGCTTCGGAGCCTCTGAAGCTTTTCTTCTGGCGGAGGGAGGGAGCTGTTTTGCTCGTAGATAGCTGGCCAGAGCTGTTCTGGTGCAGAGTAGATCTCACGAAGCAATACAAGCAATGTAGATACGGAAAAAAAAGGTAACAAGACTTGAGGGATATAATAGTGAAATACACAATAAAAAGAAAAAATGAAATAAAATAAAATAAATGAGACCAGTGTGAAACAACAAGCACAACAATCACAGCGGGAAAGGAAAATCACCGGGCAAGCTTTGGAGGGGCAACACAGCAGAAGTTTAATGGAGAGTAGCTTTGGGAGGAGGGGATTCCCTTACCAGTGAGACTTGAGCGGCTTCTCGGTCGCGTGGGATTTGCAGACAATGGAAGGGTTGGGGGGCCGGCTAGAAAAATGGCAGAAACACCTAATCTTGGGATGGAAGCCTTCTAGACAGTTCAATGGGGGCGCTTTTAAATGAGATTGAATGGCGCCAGAAAAGGGGTGGTGGTGAAGTGGTGATACGCAGGGAACTTGATCCGGAGGGGTTGCAGAAAAAGGGAGGGGGAATGAATTAATGAAGAACCATGAAAAAGGCGGGGAGCAAACCAAAAAGCCAAAACTGGATGATGGATGGATTATTATATGACTCGCGTCTAAAAAGTAAAGTCCTCTCATGATCATATCACTCTCTACTTCTATTTGCAGTGGGAAATCATGATTTTTCATTTTCATTTTTTATTTCCCTTTTCATGCTAATTATCTTCCTTCCTCCCCCCCTTTCTCAGTCTATTCCATTCCAGGAGCTCGGCTCTATCCTACTACTGTACACACCATCCTTCGGAGAACTCCCCGGTGGTGCCCTTGTCGAACCCACCACCACCACCATCATCACTCAGGCCACCCTCCATTCTTACTAGTAGACTCACCTCCTTAATTAAGGGCAATGGACTAAATTTCGGATGCGTTGGGAACCTCCCATCGCTAGGACGAGATGGCTCAGACGGCTCGATCGACGTCACGGACACCCCGCTAGTCCAGTCCACTACTTCAATAGCTGACGGCCTTGGGTCAATAGTCTGTCTCCGTTCCTAGGTATTATCAAATGAAATCCATAGTCGGGCGTAGTCGATCGGACTAGCACCGTCTCAGCGTGTTCCAGAAGGTGAAAACGAAAAGGAGACGTGGACGATGGGCCCCAGAACTCCGAATCCTTCAGCCCAGTCGACCGGGAACGGACGCGATGTGGAAGAGGTGGAAGCTTCGATCGGCCCTCCCAGGGGCTTCCAGACGGTTTCTAGAACATTGCGGTATTCGGAATAGGAGGGCCAGTCAGAGTGCCAGCCAGCACTGGGTTGCGTTGCGTTGCGTTGCGCCACCGGCGCTGTGATTGAGATTGACAATCAGACCCTTGAACCGACCAACAACAAAGGGGGCGGGGAATCGCAAAAAGGAGACACGCACTGCCGACCAAGCATCATTCCTGCCCGTCCCAATTCAATCAAAGGTCGGTCTCGATGCGGATAATTGGCTCATTGGGGGGTTCTGATTCTCTCATCAGCCCCGACGCAGGTGGCGAACGAAATGGTGCTTGCGTTTGTGAGCCTGCTCTCCGTTCGGATGATCTGCTCGCTGAGGTCATAGCCAGGGTAGACTATCCGTTCGTTGACGTTTGCTGGAGAGCCACCATTCTGACAGGGCAAGTGGTTCCGTCAGCCACTTCGAGGTGTCAAAGTGCCATCATCTCCACTGGAAGGTCAAGGTAACGGTCTGCTGTTTTGCCAATGCGGCAGGCAATGAGAGCTATCGGACACACAGAGCTCCCATGGATCCATGAACTCGTTGCTGCTTTTGGCTTCATTCGAACCGACTTTCCCTCCCAAGCCTAATCCGGTTAGCGTTCTAGCCGTTATCGCATTCTTGGTTCGTCGACTTGGACTATTCCTTGTGCGGACTAGCTGCTGTCCGTGCTCTCTGGATCAGGATTAGCGCCGGGAGTTGCTGTTGGTGAAGGATGGAAAGACAAGACAAGAGTGAAAGGGTGTTGAATTTCATTTCATCCACTCCAGCGCTTCTTCTTACCGCCAGCCAAAAGGCCAGCTCCTATTCTCGTGATCATAGCCTTAAAACAATAATACAAACAGGGCGGTTATCTGTTGGCGTAAAAAACTTCAACAAAAAAAGGAAGAGGGGGTGGGCGGGGCGAGTGCCTAATGCAAGGTCGCCAACAGTCACATAGATGGCTGGACTGGACCTTTCAGTCTTACAGTGTCAGTGTAGTCGTCTAGTCTAGTCCTTCGGCTGTGGGTTGGGATCTACACGGACCATATAAAGTTTTCCAGGCCCTCACAGTGCATATGTTGAATAACTTACTCTCATATGCCCTCTGTAGTCTGTACGGATTAATATGTAAAGCAATGTGGGTGATTTGATCAGGTCCGTCAGGTACCATCGACATGCTTCATCCAGTAGAAACTCTGCCTGGGAGAAGCCCCTGGGAAAGATGCGCTAAAAGGCAAGGCGAATGGCTGTGACTACGGGCAGGAATGCAGCCCTGCACGAGCCTCCATACCAACGGACTCTTTGGTTTCCCACAACAAGGTTCTGATGAAACTGGCCAAGTCTAGCGCGATAAGATGCCAGCTGTCGCTGCGCTGAGTTGTACACGGGCTGGCAAAGAGCTGGCAGCCACTGGGAGTGTCTAGAATTCCTTCCGATACGGTGACTCAATTCCATGTGTTATTCCGCGAGGCTTGCTTAAGATTCATCATTACCGATTCCTCGACACAGAATAAGCCACGGCGAAAATCATTGCGTGTGTGTGTATGCTGTTGCTTGCTGTTTCGCCTTGATCAATTTTGACACCAGGAACATCCAAGTGGCGGCTTCTTACAGCGTACCTACTTACTCATCTCTCTTTCCAGTCAATACTTCCTGCCAAAGAGTCCGACCGGTGACGGTCTGTGTGCGACCGAACAGCCCCCCCGCTCCATCTCTCTCTCCCCTCTCCATCTTTTTCCAGCAACACTTTATCGCCGTTCCCAGCCTCTTCCATACGCCATTTCTTACCATTCTTTAATTTTTTTTTATTTTATCCTGTTTGCTCCGAGCGTTTAGCTCTTTCCTTATCCCTCCGTTCCTACTACATTCTCTGCTGCTGACAAGTTCCTGCTCCCACCACATCTTATTGTCTGAGTTCGGGGGATCCAAAGCCCACCCGCCGTAAAGATGGGGAGCTACACATTTACATGGTAAGTGACAGATCCCATTCTCCCACCCTCTGGAACCTCCCAATTGTGGGGGATCAGCCACTCCACGGCCCTCCCTGTGGAAATTCTATTCTATCCGACACCTTCCGTACCAAGCGACAAGCACGTACGGATCAAAGCCTAGCTTTCTTCGGCGTCATGAGCTGGAAACTCTCGGGTGGATTTGATCGCTGACCGATGCGGATCCTCGCATGCGACCAGGCCGTACAATGCGAACGAAGTGTTTGTCACCGGCACATTTGATGACTGGGGCAAGACAGTCAAATTGGATCGCGTAGGCGATGTCTTTGAGAAGGAAGTTCCGTTGCCAGTAACGGATGAGAAGGTGCACTACAAGGTGAGACAGCAGTCGCATGCTCTGCACATGACTTTTATGGCGCAGAGCCGTTCCCTGTCCTGATTTGCTTGCCATGCCCATTGTTTGTACTTCCCGCCGAGGATTACGTCCTTTGATGGGGAAACTCATCGTGAGGATCCCGTTCCTCTTCCAGTCCCTCTGCCTGTCCTGCTTATCAAGTTCCATCGCGCGATGACGCTCCATCCGTGGACTGACGTCATGTCGCCGCCAGTCGCGGACGGGCGTGGTTTCCCCCTCTCATGTTTCCTGACTCTCCTCCCCCCAAACTATAAGACTCCCTTGTCAGCGTCATCGTTGCATTGGTTCCACAAACTAACAATTGTTTTTTTTCTTTGGTTCATAGTTCGTCGTTGACGGCATCTGGACCACCGATAACAGAGCTCCCGAAGAAGACGACGGCAGTAGCAATATCAACAACGTTCTCTATCCTGACCAAATTCTTAGAGAATCAACCACACCTTTGTTAAACGGCACTGCAGATATGGCCGGGGTCACACCAGGCTCGACAACCGCTGCATTGGCAGCCGGAGTCCCCAAGGAGTCCAGCAACAAACATGGACAGAATGGATACTATCCCACCATCTCATCGGCCGCTCCGGGGTCGACTACTGCCGCGCTCGGCCAGGATGTGCCGCTCGAGCAGAGGGCCAATGTGCCCGGATCGTATCCCATTACCCCAGCCAGCGAAGCTGACAAGTTTTCTGTGAATCCAATTCCGGCGTCCAGTGGCGCGGGAAACCCGATCAAGCTGAACCCGGGGGAGAAGGTGCCTGATCCCAGCACCTTCAACACGAACACTATCTCTTCGACTGCACGTACCGACCGTGCCGGCTATGAGCAGGGCACTAGTGGTGGACTCCCCGGAAGCCCTGCTTATGATGCCAGTGCCTTTGCGATTCCCCCAGTATCCAAGAACATGATCCCCGAGTCTAGTCTGCCAATGGGTGAAAGCCAGGGAGCGACTGACCCCACCTACACAATCCAGTCGGCTGCACCGACGTCCACGACTGCGGGACTTGCAGCTGCTGTCCCGCTGGAGTCCCAGCGACAAACAAGCAGTCGAGTGCCCACGAGTGATGTCCCGGATGTGGTGCGACAGTCGTTGTCTGAAGCCCACCGGGACCCTGAGGCGGCCACCAACAAGGAGGCTGTCGATGAGAAGAAAGAAATGGAAGAGGAACTTCGAAGGAAGGTTCCGGTGGACAACTCGACTGGCGCGCCGGCGCCTACCACTGTTGCCGGGCTTGGTACTTCATCTGGACTTGGGTTTACCGCTGGGGCTGCTCCTTCGACCAACCTTGGTCCTTCCACTGGCCTCGACGTTGCGACTGGTATGGGTACCACTACTGGCCTGGGTGCTGTGGCTGGGGCTACCGCTGCACAGGGCTCCCAGAAAGAGACAACCAGCGGGTTGCCGGCCCACGATGTCCCCGATGTGGTGAAGCAGTCGATCTCTGAAGCTCATCGGGATCCGGAGGCAGCAGGTGTCGAGGAGACTGTCGAAGAGAAGCGAGAAGTCGAAGAAGAGCTTCAACAGAAGGTTCCCGTGAGCAATCAGTCTGGCACACCCGCACCTGTGATCACGGCTGCGACTTCTGAGAGAGCACCCGGAGCGTCTGGTGCTGAACCTGCTTCGGAGAGCGCACCGCGTGCTACTGGTGCTGAGTCGGCTTCGGCCCAAGTTTCTCCCAGGGCCACTACCCCTACAGATGGGCCCACGGTGACCACCGGAGTTGCCACATCGAACGCTCCCGAAGAGTCTGGACCTGGCGCATCTGGCCGTGAGGACACCACTGAGATTCCAACGAAGCCCGCTGCTGGTGCGACGGGAGCGAGTGCGACCAAGACTGTCGACTCTGGCGTAGAGAGTGGCATTGCTCCCGACGAGACGACGCCTGCTCCGACAGCTGGTGCCACGGGGGCCAGCGCAACGAAGACTGCCGATCCCACCGGGACCAGTGGTGCACCGACCAGTGGTACTAGCAAGCCAGCAGAGTCCGCGCCGACCAGCAATGCGGCGGCCACCTCGAAGCCGGCTACCAACAATGCCGCTGGAGCGACAACGAATGGCAAGGAAGAGAAAAAGAAGAAGAAGGGCTTTTTCTCGCGACTGAAGGAGAAGCTGAAATCGGTTTAAGAGGATGCAATGATACTATGATAATGACCCAGGTGTATAATGGGAGGTGGAATGGGGTTTATGCTTTTCACGTTGACTGGATACCTGTTTGCATGGCTCGTATAATTGCTACGGCTTGTTTGGTTTATTGCTGCTCCACGGAGCATCGATAGCTAGTATGATAATGTTAATGTTCTGATGAATATATGCCGATTCTACCTATTGATAAGATGTAGCTATATTACTGGATTACCAGATTACTAGAATACTAGATGGGTATTGCGTTGCTCACAGCCCCATTGACTTTGACCGGATACCCAAGGACACTAGCAGAGATGTCAGTATACGCAGTAGACATGATAGAAAGAAAGAAAGAATGAATGAATGAAAGACATACTCCTTCCCCGTCTGCGTCAAACAACAACCACAGAAAATCGACGCCGGATAGCAAATGACCTGCAGGCAGGCAGGCAGTTAGTTGTCAATTCAATTCTTTTCAAGCAATGGAAGTAAGTAGTTGTGATATAGATATACGTACAGCCGCGACTACCGTACAAAGGAAGCCTGAAGAAGTTACTATTAGCATACTTATATATGAATCAAGAATATGAAGGAATATATATACCTAATGTCGGTCCCACAACCTTACAGCGACATGGGTTCTGGTCTGTTCCGCATTGGAAGCAGATGGGGAAGATGGGGAGGAAGGGGATGTCGCACATGTTCTTTGGTTTTATATCAAGGTGTGGGTTAGTTAATTGAGTTATTATGTATTAGAGAATTAAGGGGAGATACTAGTAGAGAGAAAGGATTGGGATGAAATGGAAGGGGAGTTTCTGGTGTTGTGCTGCGGTGTTGTAGTTGTAGTAGTTGTGTACAATTCCTGGGTTGTGAGTGAGTGCTGTGTCGTCATCATGAATCATGTATGCAGCATACTACTTAGTAGAGTGAAACTGCATGATAAGGGGTTTATGCATGGTTATTTCATAGGATATCCTGTGCATGTTATTATTCTATAGATATAATTATATACTAAAATAGATTTGTGTCGAGTATTCTACTTGTAAGAATTGATATGTTCACTGGTGAGTGAGATAGTGGAGGTCACGTTCCACCGTACCTTACATACTTACATACACACACACCATTTATCATCAGCAATCAATTGATCAGGTGTCAAATCAGATGACAGTTCTGCCTAGCACAGACACAGACTAGTAGTAGTAATACTTCAGTAACCATATTATGCAAATGTCAAAACCAACTACCGAATTGAACCCTGCATCCCATCCCTTCCCTTCCCTTCCCGCTTCCCCCCCAAAATCAACGCTCTGCATGCCTAATCGGGTAATGTTTATGCTGATAGATAGAAAAACCGAAATTGACTGCATGACCTGCATCAGTCATCAATATTTCATCCATCCCTGCTCTTCATACATATTCCCCAATTTTCTCCAAACTCCACCTTTCACTTACACAGCCATTCTTCATATTCCTGTCTCCCCTTACCAAGCCACACCAACCTACAAAAATAACTGCCAGTCTTGTCTAGGCATCCTAGGCACCCGAATTCCCCGTTGGTGGAAATAGGAAATAGTTCACAAGGGGGGCATTTTCCTTGAACGCCCCCGCCCGCACACAAGCCTTGGCATTAATTGCACAGCAAAGCCACACGCATTACTTTCCTTTCCTTGGTTGGGGTTAGTTAACTTGAATTTGAGGAGAAAACCAAACCATCTTTGCTTTTTTCTCCCTTTCCCTCAACTCTTTAACGCAGTGAACTTACTGCTTTTCACTAATCTATTTTTCTCTCTCGTGTCAAAGCCACAATATCCTCCCCCCCACCCCCAACTCCACAGGATTGAAATCAATAATAATTTGAATACCGCTCGTGTGGGTTAGTTATATAAGGTGTTCGTCCGTGTTCGTATTCAGACTCAAGTTCAGATCAAAGATCAGCCCTACGCCTTATAAGGTCAACAGAACCGCACACTATATTTCTCTTTCACTTCACTTCCTTCACACTACAACCAACACTACAACCAACACTACAACCAACACTACAACCAACACTACAACCACCATAACAACAACCCTACGGGTAAATACCAAAAAAAGAGAGAATAACAGGATGACCCGCCTCTACCCCCTCTTCATCCTCCTCTTCGTGCTCCTCATCCTAGGCACAATCTTCTACATCACCTACTCAATCATCCAAGATGTGAAGCGCAACACGCGATCCAAGATGGAGAAGAAAAACGTCACGTTCTCTCGGGATGGAGTCACTGTTGGTGTGAAGGAGTTGAAGGATGAGGATTATTTGGATCGGAGTCAGAGGTATAATATATATATCCCCTTTCCTCAATAATTATTTTGAATACTGTGTTTGTGGACAGAGGCTAATTTGATCTGGCGGGTGTGTATAGTATTCTGGTTAGCATGTGGAATCATACCTCCTTCCCTGCGTATAAGAGTCGACTGTGGGATATGACGAAGCCGACGAATTGGAATGAGAATGGCGCTGGGGGCAGCAGTGGTGATGACGGGTTGAGGGATCGGTTTTGGAGTGCGGCGGGGAAGGTTGGGGAGTGGGCTGGGTATCAGCAGGGTCAGGAGGGGGAGAGGGATAAGAAGGGGCAATGATGAGTTTGATGAACTTTGGGGGTTGGGGGTTATTTAATACTGGGGATTAGGGATTGGGGATTGGAGTTTTCTGGTGGGTTGGGTTTTCTTCTGCATGGGGTGCGTGCGGGTGGTATTATGCTCTGCTATGTGCATTCGTTGTTTAGCTATGCATTATGTGGCTATCTCCTTTTTTGCTCTACTTGCTGACGAGATACATGAATCAACGAATCGCATTGACTCGATTTTAAATCACTTTGCATATTTGCGTATTTGCATATGTGTATATGTGCATATTGCAGTCATCATAATGTTAGTCACAACTCATCCGTCTCATCATCATGAGTCTAATCGAGGTTCTCGTAATAGTCATAATCCTGGTTCAGCTTGTAGTATGGATCCGGCTTCGGCTCCCAGCTGCTGCCGTACCAGGTCGGCGTCGTCAATTTCTCCGGCGTGTCGTCGCGCTTCTCGCTCGAGAAGATGTACTCGAACGTCTTGGCCCATTGCACCCGGTTGTTCAGTCCCTCCAGACCCCACAGTTCCTGAAGGAAGTGCAGGAAGGAGGTGTGCGTGTACGCCGAGTTGTTGGCATACATGGTACCCTGGTCGTGGATCAGGTGGTTCGCCGGGATGTAGGGCGAGATGACGAATGACGGCACACTATGCCATTAGCTAAAGTCAGATATCTTATGACTGGATACTCACCGAACACCGAGACGAGTAAAGTCGTAGGTCACATTGTGGCCGTCAGACATGCCAGTGAAGGTGATGCCATCCTCGGGCTGGGGAACGTTGACCGGCGTGGGAACGTGGTCAGCAAAACCACCGTGCTCGTCAAAGTTGAGGATGATCAGACTGATATGTCAGTTGCTTAAGCTCAAAGTAACTTCTGCAGGCACTTACACGTTGTCCCAGTACTTGGACTTGCGCACTGCATCGTACAGATGCTTGATCAGCTGCTCACCCGAGGCCATGTTGCTAGTCGGGTGCATCGAGTCAATGGTGCAGCACTCGGGGTTATAGTAGGAGAACTGGGGCAGAGTTCCCTCCTCGAGATCGCGGTAGAACTGGTCGGAGTGAACCAGACGGTCCATCGCATTGTCTTGCACCCACTGCTCCTGTTAGAACTATACTGACGTGGAATCTGGCCTACTCACCTTGTACATGTAGGCATCGACAATGTCCGTCTCATAGTACTGTGTCACTTAGCCATTGCTCCGTTTCCAATGTGTCACATCGCTTACGTTCTTCCAGGTAATGTTCTTCTTGCTGAGAGCCTCGAAGATCGACGTCGCACAAGTCGTACCGGTGTAGTTGGCATACCATCCGGCGGACTGGTAGGTGTTGTCAACGAAACCGCAGGTCGATCCCGAAGTAGCGAACTGGCGGTTGGTGTTGGTCGGGCCAGGGTGTTCCGCGAACTGTCTGGTCAGTGTGCGCTTATCACCAACACAATTCGCAACTCACATAGCTGTCCCAGAAGGCAAAGTTCTTCGCAATCTCAATTAAAGTTGCCGTCTTCTTCTCATCATAAGCCTTGATGACGAAGCTAGACTCGCCCGGGCTGGCTGCGTATTTCTCCGACTGACGCTCAATAAAACCTCCCATGTTGGGAACATCGTCCTTGGTGGGGTACCACTTGCGGAAGATTTCATACGTGACGCCGGCGAAGTTGTGATCCGGATCGGTCAAGGGCACCTCGGTTTCGAATGGCGCAGCGCAGACATTGAGAGGTTCGTCCCAGACCGTCCAATTGGGATTGGTGTACTCGTTGCAGTAGGAAATGTTGCGCAAGTTGTCAATGTCGGGGTGGAAGTCCCAGTACCCGGCGATGTTGTCGAATGAGTGATTCTCCATCATCAGGTAGATGACATGTTTGATCTGTCCACGTCAGTGGCACTATCGTTTCTCGACAGGCAGCCGCACTCACATTGGAGCGAATGTGTCCCCATTGATCGCTATTGCGCTTGTGAGGGAGAGCGGAGGCCACAGTGGCCAGGACCGAGATAGCAGCCACGTTCAGCTTCATGTTGACTACTGCTCTGCAACCACTTTGTTTTGGAGAGACCTCTGAGCTTCAGAATCCCACCTCACCGACACCGGGGCTGACCGGTGAGATATTTATCTTCCTACCTTGCATGATGAAGGACGCAACCGGGCCTGGTCGGATGCATGGGGGTCTCCTTCGGCGCATGAGGGATCCACTGCGGCAGACATCTTGCGTTCACTAACCAGCTAGAAGCCAAAGAATGAGTCGCGATGCTCCGTAACTGCCAACCATGGTCCAATGGCACGCGAGATGGCCCATCCCACGTGGTAGGCGGACGGGCTGCTCGCGTGAGCCTTTGTGTTGCAAGCAAGGCAACACAAGAACATGCCAACTTCGGATGCACTCCGCAGTGGGATGAGGGGAAAGAATTGGAGCAACGAGCACAATTCGGACTATACAGCGGCGGAGGATGGTGATCAGCTGCTGGAATGATTGGTCATGAAGCAGTATATCGGAGATAGCTGCGTCGATTAAGCCGAAATAGGGAGGTGAAAGCGTCTCCGCTCACGCGAAGGACTTCCTGGAGAGGGGAGAAGAGGTGAACTCGGTGAAATCGGCGTCCTCCGGTGCATGCGATAGCAGACGATAGTAGACGATAGTCGATGCAAGCGGTGCATCGTGCTTCAGCCGTGCTTCTCGATTGCAGCTTAACTTGGCCGACTAATCGGGGCTGGACCGGACAGCCGATTGTACTAATCAGCCAGTCGAAGTGGAGTGTGATAGGGACAAAGAGTGTTGTATTAGGAAATAAGCATCCCTTATTGGACAGTCACCCTCAGCGGCGGAGACACCCACTGTGACACTAAGCCCAACGAGGCAAGGGCGCCTTCCCTTACCGGCCCAAGCTTCAGGGACTCCGCAGTGAAGTGGATCCCTGATTGCAGTATCCCGGCTGCCCCAACCAATCAGAGGCCCACGTGCCGCATTCACGCACCCCCGCGACTGCAGATGACTGAGAGGCCATCAGGCACGTTGTCGGTCAGCTTCTCTCCATAGGCAGATGATAAGCCTGGCTGGCTATCACCGGAGCACGAGATGCATCCTGGAGGGGGTCGCTTCATTGTGCTTTTCCCGTCCGCTTCCTGGTCTCTCTTCCTCGGTGAATGCAGCTCATTCATATGTAGTAGCCGACGCTCCCGTAGACCGACTGAATAATAAGAATCACTAAAACTTTCCTGGACCTGAGATCATGCTGATGTTGCTGCTGTGAACTATTTGCTGCAGCCCATAGGTCAATTGTCGCCCCGATCTAGCTGGTCTGAAAACTACTTCTTCACCCAGCAATCGTCCTCTTCAGCAGAAATCCCCGATTTTCAGGCTAGTCTTCTTGCTGCTGATTTAATCTGGTTGCCACTGTGTGACCTGCCAGTCCAGTAGCAAAGTTTCCTCCTCATCCTCTTCTTCAATTTTGGTTGAAACAACATTCGAAGTCCTGTCAATTCTGTCAACATGTCGATCTCTTCTCTTCGAGGCCTTCTTTCCAGTTACTCTCCCGTTTCAGAGGGATTCAGTCAACCTGATCTGGAAAAAGAGGTTCACGTTTCCCTTCGAAATGGTGACGACAGCGAGTCTTCCTCATCCCGGTCTGTCTGCCGGGAAAAAGCGGAGAAGAAGGAGTCCAAGATTGTTGACGGACGTATCGTCTCCGACGCTATTATCGGTCTCTCCGACGGCATGACGGTTCCTTTTGCTCTAACCGCAGGCTTATCTGCTCTGGGAGACACCAGGGTCGTGGTTTTTGGCGGCATGGCCGAACTCATTGCAGGAGCCATCTCCATGGGACTGGGAGGCTACTTGGGTGCAAAGAGCGAAGAGTGAGTATTCTTCAACTTTTTCCACGTAAGAGGAGGAAAGAAGCGGATAAAGCTAACCGGACTCCAGGGAGTCCTACCGCGCAACCCTGAAAGAAACGAAGCAAGAGATCCTGACTGACCCCGCTTCGGTGACCGAGACGATCTCCGATGTCTTTGCGCCCTATGATCTCCCCGCAGAGCTTGTGGGAGAGCTCACGCGACACCTCTCCTCATCCCCTAACCTCCCCTCCTTCCTCATGAATTTCCATCACACCGTCCAAGAACCCTCTGGCTCTCGTGCCTTCATCTGCGCCTTGACCATTGCACTGGGATACTTCATCGGTGGCTTCGTGCCACTCTTGCCCTACTTCTTCGTTGGGCCTCATGATGTACTCTCTGCTCTGCGCTGGTCAATCGCCACGATGGCCGTTGCTCTGTTTCTGTTCGGATACGGCAAGACATGCTTTGTGAGTGGATGGAAGGGATATCGGAACATCAGACGCGGCGTCATTGGCGGCTTGCAGATGGTTCTAGTCGGAGGTGTTGCAGCAGGCTCTGCAATGGGGCTGGTGAAGGGATTCCAGATGCTGGCAGACTCTCATGGGCATGAGCATTAGCCAAGCACGATGGCCGGTTCGATTCACGACATGATTGTTAAAAATGGCGTTTTTGGCGGGATGACCAGAGCTCAAAATGGTATTATCTTCGGCGTTGTTAGGGTCATTATTCGGGACATGTACATAGATCTATTAAATCAAGGGATGGTTTCAGATAAGTTGATAGTACATCGAATCTCTCGAATACTACATCAGCCCACACAACCATTAGAGCAAATCTTCCCAGAATCGTCAGCCCTGCAAACGTCCCCCCAAGCAAGGCACCCACAACCATTCACTGCAACCTCAGGCAGTTACATCCTCCCTCCAACCTGAGGCAACATCATACCCCATCCATCACCACACCTCTTACTTGTTCATGATCGATAAACCAGCATTCCAAAAATACCCTCGCAACATACTAGCAGTACTACCTGGTATCTCCCTCTCCCATTACCAACATTTACTGAATACATACATACTCTACAACATACAATACCAATTATACTAGGCACCACCAATTCAATCATTCTTCCCCATATCTCTCACAAAGACCTGATACTATATATAACCACTATACATACAGTAGTCCCTTATACCCCCAAATATAGATCCATCACTGCAACTAGTAAGCGAGCAAGCGTTAAACAAGCAAACAGAACACAGAACAAAGCAAACAATGCCACCTAGAATCGACTAGACGCTGGTACCTAGCACCTCCCCCAATTAGTAGTAGTGGCAGTGACACCGGTCTACTAAAGAGTAAGCAGTGGCTGTGCCTGCATTCCCCAGATCAAAGCAGATCGACAACATTCATCCAGTCATCTGCTACGTAGGAACTCCGTACCTTGATCTGCACTGCGACTCGGCATAGCCCAGCCAGGCTGGCAGGTTGGCAGATCACTATCCATCGAGAAGTAGAAAAAAAAGTATACAAGTATAACCGAGAAAAAATAAAAAGAGAGATAAAAGTAATACAAAGAAAGGCTAAAGGCCGGTAAGGCTCAAGGGTGCACTGGCATTCCAATCCTCGTCGATCGGATCAATTGGGCTGAAACAACATGCCGGTTCTCAACTACTACGTACTCCGTTTCCCCACCGTTAGCCACGCTTTGGCTTGATTTTTCTCCCCGGTGAGAACTTAGAAGCATTCCATTTTATCTACTGTTCCTTCGGGAGTACAGTAGGTATGTTTCATCGTTTCGCGGGTTGAAAGGGGTGGAATGGGGGGGAGGGAAGAGGGAGCATGGCTTTGAGCCGCATTGTGGAGTAAATATCTACGAGGTATCCTGGGTTGTACAATTAGTTGTACCTGGGATGGTTTAGATAGAATGTTTGCAGATGTTGAGAACTCATGAATGAGTGAAGCCTTGTGGGTGGGTTGATGATGTGGGTAAGTAAATCCATCAGGCTGTTACAAAGCCCAGTGCCAGTGCACCGCAGCGCAAGGCAGTGCTAGTGTTGACATTGTGTCGTGATTGGCTTGCTAAGTATACTTTACTACTAAGTAACTACTTATGTATGTACTGTGATAGTAGATGGAGTTACCTACCTTGGTAGTGTAGATCTTCCGGCGAGAGAGAGAGAGAATCAACTACTCCGTAGTGGTAGTCTATAATAAACACAGTATACTATTGCTGCGTATCACCTGTAATTTATCCATCCATTAGGGAAAGCAATACCCGACCAGACACCACTGTATATCCTGGAGGCGATCCAAGAGTTAATTTGACCACCGGACGAGTGGCATGCGGGCAGCAACTGAAATGATTTAAACAACGAACATCATAGCGGAACGGCATGCGGCATGACCTCATTGCCCGGACCACCCTGCAGATGAAGTGGCTGTCTGATTCGTGCCATCGGATGGCACGAGCAAAAGAAGAAAAAAACAGCTTGAACATCAGGTGATCCTATGGGGCTGGGCTCCTGCAGCTGCCGACCGGGCGGCGGTCAACGAAAAAAAAAAACCCCATCCTGAGTTTGGTTTGAGAGAAGTAAAGGAAGAAATGATAGAAAGTAATGCTGTATTGTTGTATGTAAGTAAAATGGGTATGTATGTACGGATCCTTACTTGCACTCCAAACGAATGCAAGGCTCACTCACTCACTCAACTCACTGCTCGTTCCTGATGTCAGATCGATATCCATCAATAATGTGGGAGACATTCGAGAAGCTCGGATTACAAGGAAAAGAAAACCAGATTTCGAGTCAATTGTGGCTGATGGGCTGGAACTCCGCCCACGGTTGTCTCGGCTTTCCATGATGTACTATGATGTATACGACGTTGAACCCCATGTTTTCTGCCCTCGGAAACCGAATGTCCATGATGCAACAAGAAGCGAAGCGGGGACAAATGCTTCTGTTACTTTCTTGCTTGCTTCGAGACATCGAAGGTTAGCTGTCACCTCCTCCAATCCGTTGTAGGGTACCCCCCCTATGCATCCCTGACGTTGAATATCTCAACCAAATTGAAGTAGTGATGATGATGATCTTTCTGGTCCAAGCCACGGCTCGGCGTCGGGCGGTGGTCGCGTTGTGTTGGCCCAAGCTTATGCCGATCCACTCACGGCCAGGCAACCGTCAACTCTCAGCCATCACAGCAAGTCCGAATACGAGCTTGCTGTCGAGAAATATCCCTGGATTTAGGGGAGGGAGAAAAAAGGGTTTCTTTTCTGTTTCAATATCGGACCCTTTCTGATAGTTAATTTGTAAGAATAGATGAGACACGTTCACTGCCCCCTCTAGTAGTATTACTATTATCCTATTGTTCTCGCATCCTTTTCTGATTCGCAAGGTATACCTCCATTCTGGGGTTGCTTGCTGCCTATGCGGCTGGAATTAGACTGCGGCATTCCTTCGTCCTTTAATCTTAGCTCACCATTAATCCCAGCAACGAATCTATCAAGGTAACTATCGAAAAGCACTGCCCGGTGTGCGACGTAAGAAGAAGGTGTGCTCTCTGAGCCTCCGAAATGAAGCTGGACCCGTGCCCTCGTAAAGTGTTCCCAATATGTATCTATCTTGTTACCGAAATAAAAATCACCTGACGCTGAATCAGCGGAATTCAAACGATGCAAGAAGTAACATACTGAGGTAAGTAAAGTAACCAAAGTAATTAACGCGGCCACGACCACGATGGAGATTGTCATCAAAGTAAATTGGGGCGAAAACTAACTCATGACGCCGCATTCTGAAACCATACCTTCATTCAGCGCTGTGCTCCCCCAACGCATTATATTACTATATCTTACTTCTTACACAGATAGACAACTCAATAATGAAGCTGCCAGAAATCATCACAGTTGAAGTGAAGCGCCGGCGTCCACCCTCCCCGCATCATCACGATGGATGCAGTAATCTGCCGTGTGCCATGGTCAGCTGCCACTTAGATCCCCAGACTTCCAAACTAACTACTGCAGAGAGTTTCACACCAAGAAAAAGCCTACCAGTGAGTGTGATGTTTTTTACTCTCTTCTTTACTCGGATGTGAACTGATCATCTCTGCCCGGCGCGGCTTGCCGTGATCTTCCCACCCCATCTCGAGGTATTCCAACTATGGTATGGAGCCCGCGTACCATACGTATGGTATGCCAACAATACCATACCAGACGGTAATGGGTGTCCCGGCGCTTCCAGCTTTCTTTCTACTCGTGTGCCCAATACAACATAATTCCCTACTAGACTGCTGCTTAGACTCCCATAGACTTGCGCATCATTGCCTATCCTTGACCCTGAAAATGTCATGTCCCCTATAACTAATAGTTTAGTGACTTTAGTTAGCTAGAACACGGAGGTTTAATTATTCATCGTCGATGTCTGTGTCCCCTTAAGCTAGCACCTTAGTTATTAGGTAACTATGGAGCAAGTAACTGTCTCTACTATGTAGGTACTACTAGGTAGTAATTTAGCGGATGACGGAGGGGGAGGCGCATGCGTGGTCCCTCTCATCAACGCGCGCTTTTTTCTTACAGCAGCAGCAGCAGCAGCAGTGCGTGCCTCGAGAGCGTTAGATCGGGCATATGACAGGCGCAGGCTGTTTCGTGTTGAAAGAAAGATGGCTGGTTGAGCGACTAGCCCTGTTAGACTTTTGTGCAGGACGGAGGGGGCGCGCCACTGGACAATCCCTCAACAAAAAGCACCTGTTGGCTGATCACTGTATAGCTAGTCTAGATAGCAAATATCAGGTCGGGCTGGGCACGCGGCTATCGTCCGAGCTGCTTGACCCAGTCATGGGTCGTACGGTCCTGTCTATCCGTCTGAGCTCCATCGCCGCTAGCTACTCTGTTTGGACAAAGGTCAAGATTCGAATTTTCGAGTCTTCTGAGCCCAGACTACTAGCTAGTACTATCTACTTATGAAGCAAAGCGGGATCCGGAAGTTTAGATTACCGATTGATATCCGGGGGAGGAATGGGCTCTTGCCAACACCCTCCGATTGTTCGAAAGTGGAATTCACACGGCAATCCCGGCACATGGACTCCGTATAAGCCTTGCCAGCCGGTCAGCCAGCTAGCTAGACAGGTACGAAAACCCACACCAGCAACATGGCATCGTGTCGATGCCGGGTCCGATCGTGCCCCAGCTTCCGCAGGGTAAGAAGGAGGAGATTTGATAATGCGCATAATGCGCAGGATGATATTGTGACCAACCAGACTATTCAGGGACAGCGGGTCTTGGCTGCAGGGTAATCGGTGATTTCTTTGGTCGGATGCTGCTGACTGTGAGACCGTTGTGGGTTAAGCGAAATTGGTTCTGGAGATCCACTGCTTCCAATTGGCTGCGGATGGCTTGCGGGTGGAGCTTCCAAGACCAATCATCAGGGGCAGTCCGGAATCCCATGAAATGAGCGTCCGGAAGTTTGGCTGGGATGGTCTGAATTGGGCGTCTCGCTGAGTGATATTTTTCATTGTTTATTTGGATTTTGAGGTTTGCTTATTCCATTCCCCTCGAGACTCCTGCCCCCTCTCTTCACTATCTTAATTATATTAATGTGATGTGTAAGATTCATTTGGAACCTGCGTGTCACCAGCGAGCGTGTCTCATAGGTCACTCCTTGCGGAGAAGATTTATGTCTTGTGTCTCCGGCTACTCGGTGTCAGCCAAAATCCGTAGTAGTAACTACTAGCCTGCATGTTCCGTAGTATATCCCGACTTCTCCGAGAGCTGCTGTTTGGATCCGTTTACATTACATTATGCCTTGTCAGGCAGAACAAGACAAGTCTCATGCTTGTTTGTACCCATCTTTTTCGATTTTTAGCCTCACCCGCAGTTCGGTTGTAGCGGACTCCGTTGCCCGACCATGAAGAAAATTTCTGCAATATGAAAAAGGTTGGACCTTGGTTCTCTCAGGCACCTCGGATCTGCCTGTCCAGCGCACCGAGGCACCACCGATGCGAGCTAGAGCCAACAGGGGAAGGCCTCCTTTTCCCATGACTAAAAGCGGGCTAGTGGCTTTACCCGGACGACCCTGATTAGGGATAGCAGTGACGACATGATACGGGGCCAAACCGGTAATACGAGTACGACTTCCCAGTCAGGCCCCGTAAGCCCCCGTACCCGTCGCCGTCCGCCCCGTCGTCTGTCTTGCTGATCGAGAACCTGCAAAATCCTCATATCCCATCCATTGTTCCCTTCTTCTCTTCCTCTTTCTCTTCCGTTTCTTCTTTTCTTTTCCTTCCATTCCTCCCGCCTATACTTCCGCTCCTCCTCCTCCTCTTTCTCCCCAATCTCTCTTCCTTCGTCGACCCTCCGGCTCCGTGGCCATTTGCGCCCCTCGCAAACACGTCTCCCTCGTTCTTGGTTTCCTCTCTCGCCCTTACTGTCCGCCTTGCGTCAGAGTAACCCTTGCAACGTGACCGTCCCCGAATATCCTCGTTTGGCCGCTGGAGACCGGAGCCTGCGCTTCCACTTCATTACTGGATCCCTCCAATCTGGTATTTCTCCGCCTTCACCAAACGCCTGTCGGGCCTTGAGCCAGCCAGCGATCGAAACGTTTTGTTCCAGGCGCCGCCCCTTTCAGCTTCTGTCACGTTGACGCCCCGAATCCCCCTTTCCGCCGACTCCGCCGGGCGCTTCCTTTGACCATCTCGAACCTCAAGACTGGCGACATTCTTCCCTTCAGCTACGCCTAAAGTGCTGGGATTTCCTGACTATCGAAGATTCCACGGGGGTTTCCAGACGTGACTAGCCGCCGAGATGAATTCCACCCTTCCTTCTTGGAAGGACCGCACGCAGAATCAGTTCGGCAAGCTTCAGATCCAGGTACCATGGCGGTCGATCCAGCTCCTCGTCCCGCATCGCATGCGACGGAAGATTCGCTCCAAGCTTCGCAGCAGGCTTTCTCCGACATCTTCGATATCGTCTCTGCAAACGTCCTTTTCGCCCATGGATACGCTCCGATCACTGCAGAGCCATCGTTGGACGCTATATGACTTTCAATACTTGCTCCTGCTGATCCTTCTGATCTTCTCCCTGAGTGTGATGGGATCTCCTGGGCCTTTGGGGAAGACGGCGATGTTTACCCTACTTCTCCTTTCTCTCCTACTCCCGATTACACGCCAATTCTTCTTGCCGTTCCTTCCAATTGCGGGGTGGCTGATCTTCTTCTACGCCTGCCAGTAAGTCAACCACCCTTTCAGATCGCAGTATGCCGGAGTGTTGAGAGAAACTTGGGAACTGACGCTGTCTGAAATAGATTCGTTCCAAGCGATTGGCGCCCGGCTATCTGGGTCCGCGTGCTTCCGGCCCTGGAAAACATCCTCTACGGAGCGAACATCAGCAACATTCTGTCTGCTCATCAGAACGTTGTCTTGGACGTGCTGGCGTGGCTGCCTTATGGCATTTGTCACTATGGCGCGCCATTTGTCTGCTCGCTCATCATGTTCATTTTCGGTCCTCCTGGCACGACTCCCCTCTTTGCACGGACGTTCGGTTACATCAGCATGACTGCTGTCGCCATCCAGCTGTTTTTCCCCTGCTCGCCTCCGTGGTACGAGAACCTTTACGGGCTGGCACCGGCCGACTACTCCATGCCGGGTAACCCCGCGGGTCTTGCTCGCATCGACAAGCTTTTCGGAATCGACCTGTACACCTCGGGCTTCAGGCAGTCCCCTGTCGTGTTCGGTGCTTTCCCCTCTCTGCACGCTGCGGACTCGACTCTGGCCGCTTTGTTCATGAGCCATGTCTTCCCGCGGCTGAAGCCCTTGTTCGTGACTTACACCCTGTGGATGTGGTGGGCAACCATGTACCTGTCGCACCACTATGCAGTGGATTTGGTCGGTGGTGGCCTCCTGGCTACGGTTGCATTCTACTTCGCCAAGACCCGATTCCTCCCGCGCGTCCAGAGCGACAAGACTTTCCGCTGGGACTATGACTACGTGGAGATCGGAGACTCTGCTCGCGAATATGGCTACGACTTGGCTGCCTACGACGGCGACTTCAACCTTGACAGCGATGAGTGGACGGTTGGATCGTCATCCTCCATCTCTTCTGGCTCCCTGAGCCCGGTGGACGACCACTACACCTGGGAAGGAGAGTCTTTGGCGTCGCCCATCGCCGATGTCGAGTCTGGCAGACATATGCTCAGTGCTTAAGCCAGTCGACCGCCATTTTGCACCCACCTCCCTGCATATAAAGCATCCACTTCTTGCATCTATTTACGAACGGCGTTAGTACATTTGACGACATGCTGGGTTTATTGCATTGAGCCGATTTCGACACATAATATCTTTAATACCGCTTTTTATTTCGCAGACCAGGTCGGATAGTTTCGATTTTCCGTTTTGGATTGGTCACCCTGGATACTGCTATGTTTTATTTCTTCGTCTTGACCTAACTGTACATCATACCGCACACTTTTCTGGGCTGCGTTGCCGCATGATTCTGCAGCCCGACCTCCTCGAAGCTCCGTCGATAATATTAATACCGAAGGCTTAGTGTTGCACAGCACCGCGTCCCATCCGGTCGTGCAACCCCTGATGCCCTCGTTGGAGACATTCGCTTTCTACATCTCGCCTGGACAAACCAGGACGACCACACTCGTTTACTTCCTACTTTAGTCTTTCGCTTTTCACCAGCTGGTCGAGCTTTTTACCTTCATCTTCTTTTGCTCGGCCAGGTACATATTTTATCTTCGTGTCGATCGCTCACACCACTGGCGCCTGGGATTGGGAACTCAATGAAGAAAAAGTTGATTGAGGCGCCCAACTTGCTTGCACCTCATTCGCTGTGCTTTCAAGGGATTCAATGCTTTTTTTATTTTAATGACCATTGCATTGGCATATAGACAGAGGGGTTATGATGAACCTTTGTATTACGGTCTCGTTTGCGCACCAGAGACTTTTATTGTTTGTTATACGGAGGGCCGTGCTCACACGGGCTGCTCATTCTCCGCAAAGGGGAACGAAGCCGCAATGAAGCCCGACGCACGCACCCACGAGGAAGGGGACGCGGGAATATAGATGTTGACGGAGGCATCTTTCCCGAACAACACGTGTGCCTGGATTTTGTTGATTCGCTTTGCTATGGAAACACGTCACCCACCCCATCATATCCTACACCTTTTAATTAATTCCGTTCGCACGGGACTACTCTACCTCCTGTGTCCCCTAAGTTGTGTGGTTTTCTGGTATCAATCGATGCAAGAGAACCATTTCTCTACTTTACTGCCCGCTCGCTCCTATGACCTAATTCATTAATAGCTGCGGCTGCGTGTGACGGGATAAGGGAAGGGGTGGTTTGATTGGATGGGCGAAAGTATCCATTAGCAAGACCTATTCTTAATTATAATCAGGTAGCGTAATGATTTATGAATGCTTGTATCATATATGTTTTATTCTATTTTCCTCTTTGTTTCTACTGTATACATTTCAAGTCTCTTAAGGAACTTCTTGAATGACTACTATGCTATGCTCCTATTGGAAGTATTTGCCCTTTTTTTCTTTTTTTTCTTCAGTCTAGCCGTATGTAGCTTAGAAGTAAACCACTATATTAAATTACTATCTTATCTGTCTATACCATGTTCTTGCGATAAAGATAAATTCGAGATCAGATCACATGCAAGATTGATTGATTGATTAATGTATCCCACGCAGAATTAACCATACAACCTAGTCACTCCACAAGACACAAGGGAATAAATAATGTTTATTAATATCATAAACAACCTCCCCAGATAAGACAGATTACAACTCAACCCCTGTCAAAACAAATAAAAGATACACAGGTTGACAGTCATAAGATTCACAAATCTATCTATCTATAATGAACATAGCATACCCCACCACCACCACTATCTCACACATATAACATAGGTATATAGTATCGTATAGTGTAGTATAGTATAGTAGGTACTATGTAATAATAGGTATGTAATCCCCGATAAAGTCAAGGAAAGACAAGAAGAAGAAAGAAAAAAAAAAAAAACGCCCTCTACTCACATTACAATACATCTATCTCATTCATTCATCATCAAAAACCTGTACCCGATCCGCGTACTCCTTAATCCGCGAGACGAACGTCTCTTCGATCTGGTCTCCTTGGCCGCCTGCTACGCGGAGAATGAGGTCATTGAGGGATGCGCGGCCGAGGATGTCGACGTGGTCGCCTATATACTCTCTCATATCAGAAAATAATTCTCCGGAAGGGTGGAAAGGGAGATGCTAAGGGGGGTTGGGGCATACCTGTATTCGGACCACCACGGGGCGAGAAGCGATCCGGTTCATGCGGCATCTCAAAGACCTTGACTTGTACCCCGGCAGGGTTGTACCGTTTCATGCGCCAGCCCTTGGCGCACATGTAGCCCGTGCTCAGGAGATTGACGGTGCCGTCGCCCTCGCCCATGAGGACGCCGTGATCGACGCCGTCGTTGTTGGTTACTGTCGTGTCGATGCTGACGTTTAGATTGACCAGGGGGTCACGTTCTTCCTGGTAGTAGTAGCTCCGCTCGGTGGGTTTTCCGACGCCGTAGAAGCAGTAGATTTTGAGGTCCGGGGCGAGCGGGAGCCGGGCTTCGAGGGGGTTGAGCCATGTGCGGGGGTTGTTTTCGTTCTCTTCGACTTCGCGGGCTGTGTGAGCCACGCCGTGGGAGTAGCTGCTGAGCACCTGGTCGCGGTACCAGGACTCGGATTCGTCGAAGAGGTAGTTGAGACTTTCGGTGACGGTCATGTTCTTGCTGGTGTGGGAGGAGTTGGTTTCACGGAAGTTGAGCACGGTGCCGAAGGACTGGGACTGGTCGGGCAGGTCATCCGGGGCCCAGGTTGCGTTGCCCCAGACGGCTTCGCCGCCCTTGGGAAGCATGCTGCTGATGCCGGGCATGGCGCGGAAGATCTCGGCGCGTTCTTCCTTGGAGAGGAACTTTTCGAGCCCGTAGACGGCGAAGGCGTTGAGTTGGGCGGTGTCGCGCATCTCGCCGGAGAGGACGGCCGTTAGGCCCTTCACGGCGCCCAGCATGCATCCGCTGATGTTGATCCAGTTGGCGATGTGGTTGTTGACCCAGTCGCGGCCGCCGGCGCCGTGGTCCGGGTGCTCGACCCATTTGAGGAAGTACAGGACCACCTGTGAGCCCATGCTGTGTGACGCGAGGGTGACTTTTTCGCCGCCGACCTGGACGGCGGTCTCAATGTAGGATTTCAGTCGGCTGAAGTACTGGTCGCGACGCTCGAGGTTGGGATACGAGAGGCGCCAGTCGTAGGCGGCGGTGAAGGCGTTGGTCGGGTCGTAGCCTATGGTTGCGAGGTTCTCGAGGATCTTGTTCCAGATCCAGTAGCCGGTGATGAAGAAGTCGGTAGCATCAAAGCCCTGCGCGGCGCGGAGCTTGATGCCGGGGGGATCCAGGCCGGTTTCCTTGTCTAGCATGATGTGGTTCTTCCATTCGGTCTTGTCGAGGACCAGTGCGCGCATCATACTCCAACTACCCCAGAGTCTGCGACGGAAGTACTGGCGGGAGTTTGCGTCGGTGCCCCAGCTCTCGAGGCCGGTCGAGATGACGCCGGGGATCATGACAATGGGGTGTTTGGCGTGAACGCCTTCGGCTTGGAGGTGCAGACCGACGGAGAAGGAGTCGTAGTTGACGGTGTCGCGTTCATGTTGCTGCGCGGGGTGTCAGTATACGGGTGTGTCCTATTGATATATCCAAGTCGTTTCATGAGCAATTGGGTCGTACCGTGAATTCCCTGACATCCGAGAGCAATCCCTGAGGCATAACATCCATCAACGACTCCAAGTTCAGATCCATTATGCTATCCAGACTAATCACATCCTGCTGGTTGGCGAAGAGGACGGCCACGAGGACACCAAACAAGCCACCCAGGACGAAGATAAGACCATTGCGCCGTTTACTCCGAGGTTTGGTGACGAACGACTCTCCTTTGGGTTTCTTCTGCGCCGACGCAGTCGAGTCGGGGATGTCGCGGGAGTCGGACGGGGACGGCGATGCGGACGCACCGTCCTTGTCCTTGGCCACACGACGGCGGAGCATGCTGTACTTAGACGACGGAAATCATGTAAGAAGCCGGGAAAGCAAAGAGAAGAAGGAGTTCACGTCAAAGCAGAATCATAAGAGAAAGGAGAAAAAAAAGAAGGTTTGAGCCAAAAATAACCGAGTTTGACATGAAGAAAACCGAATCCGTCCCAATTCAGGCACCGCCGGAAAATCACATGTGCGGGACGTCATCACCTTTTTATTCTCGGCTTCCCTTTTCTCTCCGCCATTCATGCCCTGCTCTCTCTCTTCTGAATCGAGTCCTTCATCCTCTCCACAATGACTTCCAATTCTTCTACTACAGATGCTACCACCACTCCCACAACAACAAATAATACCACTACTGCCACCACCACCACCACCACCACCACCACTACTCCCCTCCGCTATATCCGTTACAATGCCGCCCACGAAGACACCTACGTCCCCGCCATGCGCCAATTAATCTCCAAAGACCTCTCCGAACCCTACAGTATTTATGTCTACCGCTACTTCCTCTACCAATGGGGAGATCTCTGCTTCATGGCCATGGACGACAACAACTCCGAGCTCCAATCCTCCTCACCAATGGTCGGCGTCGTCGTGAGCAAACTGGAGCCGCATCGCGGGGGCCCCTTACGCGGATACATCGCCATGTTGGCCGTGCGCGAGGAGTATCGGGGCCAGGGGATAGCCACGAAATTGGCTCGAATGGCCATTGATGCCATGGTGGAGAGAGGGGCAGATGAGGTAAATCCCTACCTCCCCAAGGTTCCCCATGGCTAAATGCATGTGCACGTTCCACTAACGCTCCATTGGTTGCAGATCGTGCTTGAAACCGAAACCACCAACACCGCGGCGATAAAACTCTACGAGCGACTCGGGTTCCTGCGGAGTAAGCGTCTGCATCGGTACTACTTGAATGGCAACTCGGCGTATCGCCTTGTGCTGTACTTGAAGGAAGGGGTTGGGTCGATGCGGACGAATTTGGATCCGTATGCTCAGCAAACAGGGCCGCCTTACCCCTTGATTGAGGATAGAACGGACACGGCGGTGACCGCGCCGGAGCCGGCGTTGACGCATGAAAATGGGAAGTGGTAGAGGTTATATCTCTACCCTACCTTCACTCTTTTTGGACACCTTTTCCCCTTTCTACCTTCTTGGATGGATGTGAATGACTGTAATGACTATGCTATGCTATGTTATGCTATGATGAAGATATATATGTGGATTTGTTGGTCTGGTTTGGTCTGCTTGCATCGCATTGCATGTGTGCGGGGTTGGGTTGTGGATTACTATAGATACAATCTATTGCTGTTGGGTTTCTATATGGTGGGGTGGTTCCAGGTCTATGTACAGAGTGTTATGTGATCTGATGTGGGGTGGAATAGGAGGGAGGGCATAATGTACAAGATGTTGTATGTATAACAGGGCCATGGTGAAGCCACAATCGAGCAAATAACAAGGGAACAGATCAAGCCGGATACATCGACTTCCTCACCGGCACGCGAATGGCATTCTGGACCAGCCAGTGTACCGGCCGCGGCACCTTCCGCCACTCTTGATCCAAGACCGAGGCGGCCTCCAACATAATCAGCAGAGGAAACTGCGGGCGATGCCAGGAACCGATCTCGATATCATGCTGCGTGAGCGCAGAGGCCACTTGGATCTGCTGCTCCCGCTCTTCGCCGCTGGGCTTATAGCCTGAACTCAAATAGGCGATGGGGTTGGTGCGATACTCCCGGGGTAGTTTGTCGAGCACGGTGGTCTGGAGCTTATGGTCGGGACGGTGCAGATTCAGTCCTACGATGACTTTACCCGCACTCACATCCCAGATCGTGTGAACATTGGTCTCGGGCTTGCGGGGCACATTGCGAATCAAGGAAGTCACGACCGTGCGCTTCATCTTGTATGTTACGTTCCCGGACATGCACGCGTACCTCCAGAGGACCCGGCAGATGTTGTAGTATTGGCCTTTGAAAGCGACCAGGAAGAGTCGCTCCCATGCGTGCCGTTCGAGCTTCGTTTCCGGGCGCTCAAGGCATCGGAAGAGATACCGCAGAGCGGTGGGCATGTCTGCTCGGAACAGAGACAGAATTTGGGTGATGGTAGCACTGTTGAAGGTTAGGTCGTTCTGCTTGCAGATGTCAAATAACCGGTCCAGGGCAGCAAAGTCTTTCAGCCGGACGATGACACCGAACATCTGGCTGATCAGAGATGGAGCGAAACAGCTATCTCCGCAGGAGTCGGCGGTCTGCCTGATGAATGAATCCACGCTCTTGCCACTTTCTAAGTGTGCTCGGAACGTGTTGGGCAGGGTCAGGTGTAGCGCCGTCCGCATCGCACCCATGTTCTCCAGGTACCCGCGCTGCAGCATATACGTGACGAGATCTGCTTTCGCCTTGGGAGCAACCAGGCAATCCAGCAGGGTGAGCCATGTGTTCGGGTCAGGCCGAATGCTCAGTCGAGACATGGCAAGCAAGAACTGACGGAAGAAGCGGAGGTCTTGCCTCTTAGCCGCAGACTTCAGGAGGATATTAAAGGTATCCACCGTCGCAAGGTGTTCGGACTTGAGGAAGATGTCGCGGGCGGCGTTCAGAAACTCATGGTCGAGCAGATATGACAGCGCTCGATTCAGCGCCGCCGTCGACATAAAGCTGGAATATGCCTCATTCCGGAACAGCTGCACAAGGGCCCGTGCCACCTGCTTCTGGTGCGAATAGGGAATCTTCGAGTTATACGAAGGTTTCGACCTCGTCAATTCCTCCACATGTTCCGCGAAGTCCCGAATTCCAGACAAATTCTTCCCAGCAGGTAGAACCATATGCAACTTCGCGGCCTGCTTGACAGCCGACTGTATATCCCATACACCTCGAACCAACGGCACGGGCGCACCCTGACGCTTCAGCGCTTCAATAGACGGGATGATCGGGAAAAGTGGGATTTGGATATCGACCAGAGGATCACTCTGCTCCTGCAGTTTCCTCGCCTGCGCAATCCTATCGCTGACCAACTCAACCACCCGCTCCGAGCCAGACAGAATCACTCTTCGAAACCGACCCTGGCTCTGCAACGGACGCAGCACATGCACCTTGCACCCATTATGCACCGGCACATACCAAACATTCTCCTTCAACGCCATGTCCGTGACGCCGGCCAACAGCGCGATCGTCTCCTCCGGCACGAGCAATTCCTTCTGTTTGACACCCTTCTTCGCCCAAACATGCGTATCCTCATGCATCTCCTCCAACATCTCCCGGATCTTCGTCCACTTATTCCACTGGTTATTCTTTCCCTTATCACGACCCTGACTCTGCTTCGTCAAGAACAGCCGATATCTCAACTTCCGTCGGTCGCGGTGCGATAGTCGCTTCAGCGCAATAGCGGGCGTTTCACCAGCCGACGATCTCATACCCTTCCGGCCCGTCGTCGGCTGCACAGGTCGCGTCTGTAAATCGGAGAAGATATTGAAAACGTGTCGTTCGCTCTTCACCTCGGTTTCCGGGTCATTGTCTAATTGGTTATAGATAGATGCAGGCGGTCCGGTGTCGGCATTCTCTTCACCACGTTTCCCTTTCTGCGGAGCCGCTGCCGACTTCCCCTGCTCAGGCGGAACAACATCCTGCTTTACCTCCGTCTTCACAGCAGCCTCCGCCGCCGTCGTCGAAACCCACCGTCTCGACGAGCTCCCAAACGAGAGCTTCCGTCCCGCCGGTGGCGGCTTCGCTACCGTCCTCCTCCGAGCAGCAGCGTTATATACATTCCCATTTCCACACGGCGCAGGACCTGACGAGGAAACAAGACTCCGGTGTTGTCGTACAGCCGAACCCACCCAGCGAGGGTACAGGAATAGGAGAGGTTCTTCGGGACTAGCCGCAACGGTGTCTAAGACGGTAGATAGACTACGTCTTTTCAGACACGGTCGACCACGAGATAACATGTGGGATCGGAGTGACACACCAACCAAGCGGGGGGTGGGTACTTGGGAGGCGTGGCCGTGGTCGGGGTCGTGGTCGTAGAGAGATCGGAATGGCCGAGGGAAGAAGAGGCAGGGGAGCTTCGGAGCCAAAAAAGTTATTATTACTGTTAGTTAAGTTAGGTGTTGGGTTGGGGTGGTTTGCCGGGGTTGGTAGGCGGTAGGTAGGCGGTCGTGGTTGGCATTTTTACCGCACCTCCGCGGTGCCAAGCATTTACTCCGTATGACATCTAGTCCATCTACTCTTGCAATAGTTATCAGCTGTTGCCGATGATTTATATGACATGAATACACATCAACAATAAACAGCTGGATAATGATACAGTTTCCTACGCTAACCAAGCAGTACTAACCCAACCCAACCCCAAACTCCACCCCCCATCCAAACAAACCACCATAATCAAGAAGAATACTGAAAAATATGCCCTTCCCTACCTACCTCCGCCTCCTTAGGAATCCCCTTAATCTCCCCACCATCATCCATTGACTTGAACTCGAACCGGCCAGAGTATCTCGCCAACAGACTCCCGCGCTTCGAAACGGGTGTCAAATCCAGCATCTCCATGCTCGATTTCCGGTTCTCGGTTCGCAGGACCCCCGGGCCCGTGAGATGGCGTCTAGCTGTTTCGGTGGCCTTTCGGAGATGATTCAGCTTGCGCTGCAGCTCGGTGGCTTCGGTGTCCCCGCTGGATGAGGAGAGTTGTTGGGAGAGGGACTCGACGACGTCGGTGAGGTGGAGGACGAAGTGCCAGCGGGAGGCTTGGAAGACGAACATGGACATGATTTCGGGGATCTGGATATTCATGAGATTATCACAATTAGCATATTGCTCCTTCTGGATGGGGATATCTGCAGGGAACGGGTAATGATATATAGGGGGGGGACTACCTTCTCATCCAAATAAAACAACTCCTCCCCGCCCTCGTCGACGAACCGATCCAACGCATCCACCTTCTCGCGATCCACAATCGCTACTCTCAACGCGTGCATCAACGCCGGGATATCTGCTATTTCCTCTACCGGCGCCCCTTCCTCCTCCTCCATCTCCCTAGAAGTCGTCGCAGTCGTGGTCCGACCCAAACTCGTAGCCCCATACCCACCCCCACCGACCTCACTAACCGGCCTCTTCTTCTTATTCTTCCCCGAGTGAATCGTGAAGTAATCCTCATTCAACCTATGCGCCATCTCCAACTCCGTCCGTCCATGTCTATCCACCAACCGTTTCGTCCTTACCCGCACCCATCTGCGACGGCGCACAAACGAATGGAACCACGGATGCGACCCATGCCACGCCGTCGACTTGAACGAGAACGAATACTGCCATCCCTGGTCGTCCACGTCGCCGGACATATCGACGTACCAGGACCGCCACGCCCACACCCAGCTGGGGTCGGGCACTTGCGCGTTCGTGATGTCCACGGGACTGTCGCGCAGGTCGGCGGTCTGCCAGGCGGAGGGGTCGAAGTTGAGCAGGGAGCTATGTGAGTAGAGCGGGATGCCAAAGAAGAACCACCCGCGTTGGTTTTCGTAGAGGATGTCGAGCTCGGTGTTGGGTTTTAGGCCGGTGAGTTTGGGGGCGTTAGCCCCTGTAGTTGTAGTGGTGGTGGTGAGGGTGTTGCTTTCTGGGGCGAAATCCGTGGCGCTTACATCCTGCGAAGGGGGGGAGGGTTGTTGTTGTTGTTGGCTGGGACTGTCACTTCGACTTTGGTATTGCGATGGGGGAGGGCTCGTGGTGGTTGCTGTTTCTGTAGTAAAGAGGTCTGACGGTTCTGGTCTTTCGGAGGGTCGTCTGCTGGAGGACGGTATGCCTTCCTCCTCTTCATTGTTGTTGTAGTTGGTATTGTCTTCATCATCGGTCGTAAGCCCCAATCGATCCGGTTGCCATTTAGCGTACTTGCGCTTCTTCAGCTCGCCGCGAATTGACCGTTTCGTCCATTTTCGGGAGATGTGGCTGCCGCCGTTTGTTGTAGCGGTGGGAGTTTCTGAATGGCGGCGACGGGGCGCAGTGTTATCAATGAGGGCGATGGAGCTGGTCGTTGTATTGGAGTGGTCGATGTCCATTGTAAGTAGGTGCCTGCCTGTCTGCCTTACCATCCACTGTATCAGAAGCTGAGACCGATCTTGAAGTAATTATAAATTATAAATAAAGTAGAAAAAAGGGATCCGATCATCGCAGTAATAAGAAGGCCATCATTCCGCAGGGATAGAAGTAAATGAATAAGTGTTGTATGTGAGACAAGAACAAACAACTAAGTAAAGTGACTAGTTGGAGATTAAAAGGGGACCTCTCCAATTGAAATAAGTAATAATGGGAGCCTGGACGAGCAGACAGAGGCTACTATATAAAGCAACAAGATTTTTTTTTCTTCGAATTAAGATCAAAGACTAGCCCATTGGAATGGTGCGACAAGAAACAACCCACCGGAACCTGCCTGGTTGGGAGAAGATGATGATAGGAAAGAAAAAGAAAGTTAAGTAGTTCGTTCGTAAAAGCAAGGCATGGGAATGGGAACTTCAAACTTCACCTTCCCGATTTCGATCAATGATGACATCGTTTGCGGGGCGATCGACGCCGTATATTGCCTGAGGCATATACACACGCTTTCACTTGTTGTGTCCCTTGTTGCCTTAGGCATTAAAGAGGGATAAGTTGCTAGTTATCGTAAAGTTAAGTATCTCCGCATCAAACAATCATCAAACATAACTCTACGACGCGTGATTCTCCTCCCTCCTCACCACTACCACCCATACTCCCTCCACACCACCAAAAACACAAAGAGGAATAAAAAAAATGTCCACCGACCACCACCGCAAAATCGAACTCCAATCCCCAGCAGACTTCACCTACCTATACGCCAACACCGTCGCGCTCTCACGAGCAAAACTCGACCTCCACCTACCTCCATCCGCGAACCCCAACGATGGACCGGATCCCATGCGCGAGCGCGTCCGAGAATTAGTCGATGAGGTAAGACGACCCTTGCCCAGATCATACATATAAATCCCACAATGTGTCTAACGACGAACATTTGTAATCTACCCAGTACATAAACCGCACCTTCAACTCCGCCTCCCCCTCCATCAGCATCAACGGACTCGACTCCACATCGCCCGAATGGCCCTTCCCAGCAGCCTTCACAGCCCCCACAGAACAAGTGGAATACGAAGCGTACGACGGGAAACTAGCATCGCGGGTAACATCGCTGTATGCGCAATTGGAGTCGTTGACGACGACGGTGGCGCAGTTGAGACGGGATGCGCCGGGCCGGGCGGCGAAGGCGTATGCGGAGCAGTTGAGGAGGGCGTTGAGGGAGGATGAGGAGGAGGAGAAATTAGAGGATTTGGAAGGGGAGGAGGAGATGAAGGAGGAGGAGGAAGAGCAGAGTACGGGACAGGATACGGAGATGGCTGATGCGGGGGCCACGAGCACAACGACAGCGACTCAAAGGAAGGGGCCGATGACGAGGTCGCGGGCGAAATTGGAGATCTCGCTGGGGACGGAGAACGAGGCGGAGAGGTGGCGGAGTGGGGAGATGGCGGAGGTATATGAGGATGCGTTGCGGACGTTGTTGCGGCTTCAGGGTGAAGGGGTATCTGTGGACACGAGTGGTGATGGGACGGATGGGAATGCGCTTTCTTCGACGCTGGGGAAGGCCGAGAGGGCTGGGCGGGCTGTCGAGGTGGTGGAGAAGAAGGGAGAGAAGAAGAAATGAGGGGTTGTTTAGGCATGTCTGCTTATCACTGCGTTCTTTATTTTCTCTGCTATCGGTTTGGGTTGGCGTTTGCAGGGGTCTTGGGATGATACCAATCGGTTTACAATGTGTTTATAATAATGAAAGATCTGATGGACACGCTCTGCAACGTTCACTCTAACGCTATATGAGTGTATACCCTGGTTCTACCTAGAGCATCCTGACCACGTAACACTTTTATCTTCTGTCCCCTATTACTGACTGCCCCGGCTCCAAATCTATAAAAAGCACCTCGCGCCGCTCATATGGTGTTTGATATCTGACTGCAAAAGGAAAACAAACACGACCAAAAGCAAAAACATATAATAATAGGACCGCGGAATCCCCGAGAACAACTCTCAACAACCCTTCCAGCACGTATCTTGAAATATAAAAGAAAAGTGGACAGGCACCCGCGGAGTACCCCTCCCTAGCAAAACAGTTCTAGAAACAAAAGAAGGGATATAGATCGGCAAGATAGTGCCTGAAGCTTTTACCATATTGATCCAAGATGTAGAACGAAAAAGAAACGAAACCGGTGGATGACACAAAGCCTCTATGCGGTGGCCTGAGCCTCAGCCTCCTTCTCGGCAGCAGCCTCAGTAGAAGCCTCAGCAGCAGCCTCCTTCGGGGCAGCCCACTTGGGGGTCTTGGCCCACTCAGACTCCTGCCACGGGCCCATGTCGCTAAGCTCGCAGCCTCCGGCACACTGGCAGGTACCGCCGAACTCAACAGGGAGGTTCTCAGCGGGGACCTGAGCCAGCAGCTCCTTCTTGTAGTTGGAGCCGAGAACGTGGATCTTGTTCACGGTCACCGGGTCAAGGAAGCCCTTGACCACGCTGAACACGCTGCTGAAGCCCCAGGGGGCGTTGATCAGGTAAAGCTTGCCCAGACGCTCGGGGTAGTAGTTCTGGGAGATGGCAGACGCCTGCTTGACGTAGCCGTAGACGGAGGGGACGCTGGTGATACCGACGCCCTTCAGGTCCATGATGGTGCAGCAAGTCTCGAGCAGCTTACCAGCCTTGCGGGAGCAGGCGGGCAGACGGGGGTCGGCAAGCTTCTCATACTCGGTCACGAGGTTCTGGAGCATGCGCTCGCCGGTGGTGATCTTGTACATGGCATTGAGGTCAATCTTGCCCAACTTCTCGATATAGACAGGACGGCCATCCTATTCGGAGTTCCGATCGTTAGCGTCTCGACCAGTCTAGCGGTGGAGAAAAAGCGGTCTGTTCAAGTCACGCACCTTGTCCGTTTTGTGGTAGTACTGGGGGTAGTATTCGAAAACCTTGGCCTTCTCGGGGTACTCGAAAGTACGGACGAGCTCATCAGTGCCGAACTCCTTCCGCCACTTCTCGCAGTCGACGAACCTTTATTTCCAGACGTGAATGTTAGCGCGCGCTTCGAAAGTTTCAGGTTTCCATGATTCACTGTGCATGGCATCTCGTAACAAAGTCTCTGTGAAACAGGGAGACAAAAATGGAAAACAGAAACTTTCGACACCATCTTCCCAGTAGCACCCGCTTACGCGTAGGCTCCAGCAACAGACGCTAGTCGTCACATCATAATCAGGGAGCAAAAACGTACATGGTCTTGGCAGCAGCGACATCAAACTTCCGGGCTCTCAGGAAACGCAACAGCGTCAGAGTATCCAGCCTCTCGGTGTAGCCAAGCTGTTCCAGCTCGGCCCGGAGCTGCTCTACCTTCGCATCCTGCTCGGGGGTGGTGTGGCCAGGGTGGCCGGGTTGGTCTTCCGGCGCAGTGGTCGGGAAGTCATAGTCATCGTACTTGGACGGAGCCGCCATTGTGAAGGTGATGGTGGATGAAGAGGGTTGGGGGAAAAGAAGAGGAGGGGAGAGTTAAGAGAAAGTTATAAACCCGAAGGCGGGATGAGTTGATGGTCAAAAGGGAGGAGGAGGCAAGAGGAGAAATCGGGCGGTGCAGGGGGGGGGAGAGAGAGGAGGAGAGAGGGGAGTGGGGAGGGACAATTAAGCGGGATGTCGCAGATAGCAGCGGTTAAGGGGAAGGAGAAGAGGAGGAACAACTGCCTAGAATATTGAACAACTAAACTGGAAATTAACCTAGAGGCGGAGAGAGAGAAAGAGGCAAAAAAAAGCCAGAAGGCGAAAAAGAAATGAGACGGCGGACGGAAACAGCCAAACTCAGACGGGAATCCAAACCAAGTCGAACTCACTGTAACTTTCCTTACTACTGCTGGAGTTGACCACTCACTACTAACTTACTACTCACTGCCTACTTGTCTGGCCTGTCAAGTGGCAGTAGTCGGCCTGAATTGCGTGCCTGAAAAACCGAGGGGTGGCGCGTAAAGCGGTCAACCTTCGTCCCCCCTTCTTCTACTTCTTCTTCTTCTTCTTTAAGGAGTACTCTTGAGGCGTCATGCGTGGCTGCACCGGTTTCATTATCGATCCTATTTACTTGTTGATTAGGACACATCCTGCTTCCTGATCATCAATCTCACTGAGACCCTTCGCAACCCCTGGTTGGCGACCACCTAAGCCTCTCCTTCGCCAATGCGCCCTTTCGTTTCAGGGCGGTCGCGCCGAAAGGAATTCCAACTCCCTGCGGCAGTGACGTAGGTGTCTGGACCAATGCTGGTGGGTGTCTGGGCAACTTGGCCGAATATCACTCGGCGGAAATTGCTGGCCAGATACCACCGACGATCAGTTATTTACATCGACCAACTTGAACAGCTCAGGTCGATCATATTACAGTCGAAAGAATCTCATAATTTAAACAATGACCGGTGTTGCAGACTGCTCGTGGCCTAGACACCTCAGAGCATCATCCTCATTAAAAGCCATATAATATGATTCCGGGGAATTTAACAACGCTAAATCCAAGGCATACTGATACATATAAACACAGGGTAACATGACGGCCGGCCTTACCAGAGCCGCTGAAGCAACACAGCGCACCAATCTCATCAAACCGCACTGACCCAATAAAAGACACTCAAGCGCAATATCATTCAACGGGGTATAGCCGTCGCAAGGACAAGACGAAAAGCAACACGGCTCAGAAAACCCCTGCTCATGACCACTCACCCCCGAGCCAGCGAGGGAAGAGTCCAGGACCACACGCTTGGGATTAACAGAGCTGGTCGCCCCACCACATTACTGCCCCGCATAGGAGCCCTATCTTAACAAAATCGGCAAAACGAAAACAAGAAAACGCAACTCATCTTATGCATCCATGGTCGACCCGCACCACGTCTGGGTGGGAAGCCGCATGGTAAAGTGTACAAATCAATCGTCCGTCCCCAGGTCATAACATAGAATAGACGATCCAAACAGATAACACGGCCACGGCCTTCGGGACATGTTAGCGTATTGCCAAGGCCAATTGTCGTTCATAAAATTGGCGGCATAGTAGCCAAGACCAAAGGCTGGCCTGTCTTGAGGCTTGCCGGTGACTATCCGCTCCGTTTCATAGACGTCGTGATAGAGTGTAAAAGAGAGGCCATAGGTGCCGTCTCTCTACCACCCTTTCTTTCGTGCAAATCGTTTGTTCAAAAGTAGAAGCACCTTCGAGACATTGAACTGGACGTACTCCAGATCCAAGTCCTCCTGGTTGTCCTTTTGCATTTCGAGCAGATCATCGAGCTTGAGATCCAGCTCCAAAAGACCACGAGCACGGCCTGGCATAATTTGTTAGCTAACATGAGAATGAAAAGAGTTAGATTCACGGCGTACCTTTGTAATGCAGGCTGATGACAAAAGTGCCTGGCAAAGGACTCTTGAACATAAAATAGATGTTGGCTCGGCGGTTCTCGGGCACGTTACTCTTGCGAATGACACCTTCCTTCTCAAGCTGCTGGTGTGTAAATTTGTACGGCCCGAGTTCCTGGTGCTTCTGCTGTTTCCGCTGCTTGCCCTCGGACTGACTGCGGACGTTGTGAAGATACGACTTGTACGTTTCCAGCTGACCCACCAAGTATGCATTGTGGTCGCGTATGGTGGCAAAGACTTCTTCCAGTTTCTTCGTCTCCTTCAAGACATTCTCCTTCAAGCCGCCCAGGTACGCCAATTCCTGTTCAACCTCGTCACGCAGGAGACTGAAGTCATCGGCACGTTCGATGACGCCCAACTTCATCAATTGATCGAGCAGTTCTATAGTGCGGATTCCTTTCCGGACCATCACCGCATCGTTCTTGAGGGTTGCAGCACTCTCCGCAATGAGATATAGCCGTAGCGGACGACGCATTGCCGGGTGTTTCGGAGGGAGAGACCGCAAAATCTGGACAAAGGTGGATTTGGCCTCCATGAAGAAGACTTCCTCTTGGGTGATATCCAAAGCCGCGGTCAGATCATCAAGAGACGTCTCCCAGCGGCTAAACAAGGGCACGGTGATGGTCCTGTTTTCCTTCCGGGGGACCTGTGGTGGCGCAGAACCAAGCTCCTGCAGGATTTCATTGAGATGGGAGTGCTGGTCCTGGGCCAAAGCCAAGCTGTGCTTCTCCAGCAGGGCGTGTGTGGCGTACATCTCGTTGAGGGTAATCTGCAACTCAAGGTCTCGCTTCGAGAGCGCGACGTAGTTGTCCATCTCCAAGCTCTCGTAGAAATCTTGCACATCACACAGATCGAGCATGAACTTGTTCACACGTTCCTTGTTCTGCTGGATAAAAGGCTGAAGTTTCGCCATGTACGGCTCCTTGGCATACGAAGGTTTGTTGGCCAAATTCTGAAGCATCTTCGCGATCAGAGTCAACGTCCGCCGGGGTTTCTCCGTGGGCGTCGATTCAATCAGCATATACGATCGGGGCGTGACAATAGCGGGGTTGATGAAGCGAAGGAAGAAAAATCCTCCGATCAAGGTACAGATGGTCTGATCTTGAGCGTCCGGGTACTTGCGTCGAGACAAGCTTCTGATCTGCTTGCATATCCATCGAATGCCGTACGGTGTCTCTTCCACGGACTCGATAATTATGTTCAAGAATCGGTTGGCATAGTCGGTGAGCATCTTCAATCGCGGTTCGATAATGGCCTGCACCTGCGCATTTGCCGCTGCATCTTCCGCCGTAACAGATCTCTGAAGACTTTCTGGCAACGAGCCCTGCTCCTCTTCGATCTGTTTCACCATGGTTTCATACACTTTGAGCGGGTTGATCTCCAAGTCGACGTCGCGCAGCTCGATCAGGGCATTGATCTGGTTGGCAAGGACTTGTTTCAGGTAACTCTGACCAGGACCGCGCCGGGTGTAGGTGGTCATCATGCGGGAAACAGGGGTGTTCTGGCGCAAGAGTGACGAGTACTCCGGAGTGTTATCGAACTGATAGGTGAGGACAGACTGAAACATGGTAAGTAGCAGATGTTCTTCACGACTCTCATACTGATTTCCGTAAATAGTAAACATCACAGTTTGCAGGAGGGAGTCGATCTCGGACATGGAGACTAGGCGGCACAGGTGGGCAATGTGACGGGGTTCGGACTGGAGAAGGAAGAGAAGATTGCCGTACTTCTGTGTTCGCTCATCGTTAGGAAAGAATCCCTCCTGGGGATCTATAGCATCGTCGAGGTGGCTGGCAACTTCGTTTTGCTGGTACTGTCAGGAACTACCCATGCAAGAGACGGATTAATTCTTACTTCTTCCAGAGCCATACGGTTTTGGATCAGCAGGGCAATCCGTGAATCCAAATACCGCACATCTTTTTCCAGGACGAAGTTCTTCTTCGATTGCGTTGAAATCTTCGCCTTCAGTTCGCGCAGATATATTTGAGCTGTCGCATAAAATGTCAGCAAGCGTGTCCAAGTTCAAATATATCCCACCCAAATCTAGTGACTAACCTCTCGCCAAATCGTCTGATATATCCAAATCCCTGTCCTTAGCGTTCATAGACATGTACAGCGCAGTGACTGACAGCCGCTTCGACTGGCGGAGGGACCGCGTATCGTGGGAAGACATGGTGTTTTGGCGTGTGACAGGCTGAAAGGAAGAAGACGATGAAGTCGAGGCTCTCGAAGCGGGTTGTAGCATCGTAGCAACGGACATTATGCGCAAGAAAGGAGCGTATAGAGGTGTGCTGGGATCGAGCAGCACACGATTGGGTGTTCAGGCGCGATATATGCGGGCGAACAATCAACCACACCGATACTCGACACCTTCAATATCGCGATTATGACAATTCAAGCTGTGGTCGCAGATTTTGTCTTTTTAGAGACCACTGATCATTTGGAACAAGACAAGCGAGTGCAGCGACGCAACGCAGGTGGTTCAAACCCCCCTTATCGGACGTGTGGAAAGGCTGTAGCTGTAGAGGCGAATGAGCGATCGGAGCGAGCTCTGTGCACGGTTGGTGAGTTTAACGGTGTTGGCAACCTCGAGACGTGGACGCCGCTAGTCGCGTAAGAGAAGGAGTAAAAATAGGATGGAGAAAAAGTAAAGGGCGATCGGAATGGAGGATTAACGTGTAGCGGAGCGCGATGGATGCGATCAACAGGAGGCGTCTCAGATACTGCCCGGCGGTTATAAGGGTTAACTTAGAGAGCAGCAAAAGATAGGCGGTGGGAATAATTCCGAATCGGAGAGGGACGGAGGAGTTGCAGAGAAAATTAAAGAGAGATGGATGGGTTGTGTGGTATGGAAGAGGAGATTTCTCACTGCCGAAGAAGGAAGGAGGCGCAAGGCAAGGATGGAGAGGATTAATTTAATGATTGATGGAGAGAGTGTGGAAAGAGAGAGACTGGAGAGAGAGGGGGAGGGAGGCAGGCAGGAGGAAAGATGCCGGTCGGATGCAGAGGAAAATCAATCAGGGCAACCTACTAACCAACAGGGGAAAGGGATCGGAATGACAGTGAATTAAGAAGGGAGAGAGGGTGATCGAGTAAGAGAAACAAGAAGTAATAAGGGAGAGATGGAAGAAGTGCGGTGAATAGAAAAAAAAAAAGTTAATAAAAATAATAAGAAGCGATCCCAATCAATCAACTTTGTAGAATGCGGCAGGATATCAGAGTGGAAAGTTGACAATGTGGTGAAGGGGATGACGACGACGACAAGAACAAAGAGGGTACAACTGGAGGGTTGGAAGTATTGAAGAGGGAAAAATCAATAATAATAATAAAAGTAAATAATGATCATTAAGGGTAGAAGAATAAGAAGAATGGGTATTGATTGAGCCAGTGCACCAGAGATCCAGGAGAAACAAGAGAGGGAGGGGAAAAAAAGGCACAGGATGGTTCGCGAGTGGACTTAAGGAGGGGAGAAATAAATCCGCTCGAACCCTCACGACGGCGTTTACGGTTGGTTAAGGGTGGAGTTGGTTTCCGTGACTTGCAGCGGACGGGATGGAGAGCCAAGCAGGTACCACTGCCACTAAATAAAAGTAAATACTTTTTAGTTGCGCGAGGATTCAAATTTCGTCAGGGCAGTTTGACCTTGAGTATGGCTGGTGTGGACCTGCATCTAGTCTACACCTGCATCAATATCATGCTGAGGGTTTGCTCTGCTGGGGAGTGGTTTTCTTTTTTTTTTATAAAGTCGGTTTAATAAACGTGTTTCTTAAGACTGACAAATTCTCCTACTTGTATGTATCATCATTTGTATTAATCCTTTTTGTTTCTTTTTTATTTTCTCTTGCCCTGTTTTCTTCTTACAGCGAGTGTGTCAATCAGTGAGGAACTAACTAGCACTGACTAAGTATTGCATGAGAGGGGGGAGGAGGGGGGAAAGGAAAGGAAAAAAAAAAGGGAACGGAGCACAGGGTGGCCCAACGGTTGAACGGATTACATGAAGGCCCTCTCTCCACTCAGACAGCCCCAGAGACCCAGTGAACAATTCCTGTTCCTGAAATTGGTCCCTACGGTCTTGGTGTGTCGGTCTGTCGGTCTGTTCCTCCCCTCAGGGATTATTTACCCACCCACCATCACCAGCACCAGCACCAGCACACACCTCCTGATTTTTAAGGACTGGTCAATCCATCCCGCTTCCAGCTGACTGACTGACTGACAGCCAGACAGAGAGAGAGTAATAGGCAAGACAGACAGACGAGGTTGAATTGATCAATGCGTCATGACTGTCAATCCAAGACAAAGAATTTAGAGACATTCTCCAGGTCAGATGTTTTGGATATAATAGCTGGCCTATAACCATGGACGGAGAGATAATAAAATAAATTAGCGTTCGTCCAATTCCATTTACCGCTTTGGGTACTATTTCTTCCCCTCCTTCCTCTCCAAGTCCTCTCCTTCAAACCTTCGAACGCCCTTAACATCATCTTCATCCCCATTCCTCTTATGAGAGGAAGAAAAAAAAAATTATTACTTCGTTATCCAAACAACTAACAAATAATTCCGATTATACCATTAAACCAGTAAAATCTCAGTAGTATCCATTAATCAATTAAATCAATCATCCGGATCGTCCCCCCAAATAATGATATCCGGATGATCGTCTGTCGCCGCTTCTTGACCGTCGGATGGTCGCCCATGCAAGAAGACGCAAGGGGAAAAATCCAGCGGAGCCCACGGCTTGCACGTACCGTAACCGGGGGGTGCAGATAGATGTTTAGTAGCGCGTAGGTTAGGTTCGGAGCTAAGCAAAGTAAAGAAATAGCGGCACTAAACCAAACTAGATAGAAATACCAAGTAGAAGAGAGACTAGCATCATTTGCAACAGTAGTTAGTATAATAGGAACAACCAGGCCATTTTTACAGAGTAGAAGAAAAATATAATTAAAGATAATTCGAAACTTAATAACATGATATCTTAATCTTCTTTTTAGTGCATCAGCCCATCGCATGGCACATTCCAAGGTTTTGCAAGGAAATGTTTAATTTCGCATGACCTGAGTAGTTGTTGATTAGTGCTGGTTAGATACTTTTGTAGTTTAGTCAGTCCCTTTTCCCCATCCGTCCGCTGGCTCGCTTTGTTTGTCTGTCTGTCTTTTCTTACCCCTGGCCCAGTGCTTCTCCGTCCACGGGTACCTGAGTCCCCGTAGTCCGTATCTAGTCTGTTGCCACCACACCCACACCCACTCCTCTCGGTCGGGTCGGGGGTTTGGCACAGTAACAAAGTAAAAAGAGGAGAGGAGAGGGAAAAAAGAGGGGATCTACTCCGTACTCGACAACGCGACGCGGCACTAGTCTGAACTACTTGCTACTGCACACGCAACTGTGCAGAGAGAAAGTGGAGGGATGAAAGGGAAAAAAAATAATGAAATAGAAGAAAAAAATAAGAAAATGCACAAAATCTTAAGAAAATCTCGATTTACACATGCATGACATCGCGTTTTTGAGTTACGACCCATAGGTCAATCATCCTGTCATGGGAGGACATGATGGCAGGCAGGGCAGCACAAAATTCTGGAGGAGGGGAGGAGCATGACTTACTCCGTAGTTCGTTTACCTGCAGGGCGCCCAGTTCCAATCTAACTTTAGCCACACACCACACACACACTTGATGGGGAAAAGTGAGAGAAAGAGAGAGAGAGTTTGGTACCACCGGTTCACTAATCACTACTACTGCCGGGATAAGATTGGTGAGACGAAGTTGCCGGGGGCGGAGTATGACTGAATCTTAAAAAGGACCAAGTTTCAGATTTGCGCGATTCGAGTCATCCATCCCATCCATGGATTGGACGGGAGTTGCATGTGTGGTACCTGCAGCATTGGTGGCTTTTCATTTTTAGTACGTACATTAGGCCCGCCTGACACGATGGATTGATTGATTGTTTGTTTGCTTCGCGTAGAATGGAGAATTTGAAATCGAAATCTCATGTGTCGAGATGGTGTGGTTTTATTGGCTTTTTCCGATGAGGGGTTCTGAATCATTTGGTTAGTCATTTTATTATGATGTTAAGCGACATGCTTGATTTTGATCCCTTCTTTACTAGTAACTGTACTGCTGGAGTCGTAGTAATTTTCCCACAGTTGTTTGATAAATCTAGCCTGCAGATTTGCAATTCTCGCGTAGTACAGGATCTAAAGCATGTCTAGGAATTTTGGAGTCGGGTAATTATGTGGAATTGATGAGTGATAATGCAAGCCTATGACGATGCAGCATTGCGATGCGAGACATTTGAGATACGATCAGAGTCGGTGGGTGGGTAACTCCTGGCCCTGCCCTCGTGAGCCGGGGGTCCATACGTAGTAGAGAATCTACTCCCTCCTTATCAGGGATCGGCTATCTGCCAAGTTTGGATGCATACCAAGCACCCATGGTGGATATTGCCACTGCATTGTATCTATGTAATTGTCTGTTATTCTTGGCCTGAATATATTCAAACAATACTCCGTGGAATAGCAGTCATAACCGTGAATACCCTTTGTGGCTTAAATTCTTGGTAATCAGGGTCAACGTATGTATGTAGATCGACCGGGGTTCTTCATTCTAAAGCCTCACGGTGCATACTGCCGGGCTTGGCAGAAGAAATACAGTAAAGAAAAATAAGATGTTATAATAAAATGATGGTAAATTATCTACAATCAATAACCGAAAGAAAAGAAGAAGACGGAATACCAAAGTAATCTACATAACACAAAATATCAATCCTGCATGACTCGTGAAGCGAACCGTGAAATTGAAACATAACATACTAAGTTCCCGCCCCAGATTGACTACTACCGTATCTAGATAGCATATCCATCCCCAAAAATCCCTCATTTTATGTTTAATTGTTAATGATCTCCCGATATTAACATGGATCCTGCGACAGGAGCAAACGATGGAAAACGATCGACATGATCCAAGTTAACCTCGCACAGATCCTACAGTAGTAATCAGCAGTGACCACTTCTCGTCAGCGTCATCATGATCTTTGTCATTGTCATTAGTAGCTTCAGTTTTCTCCACATTAATTACTACATAGTAGATGTAGATGAACTCATATATCTATATATTCGGCAATATAAGCGAGTAAGAAAGTATGATTCAGATCCCGACCTCCTACCTTCAAATCCCTAATTAAGTAACAACACAGTTTCAGAGAGAGAGAGAGCAAAGAAAAAGAAAATATTAGAGAAAAGCAATACCCACCCTCCCCAAACCAGAAAGAAAAAACCATACTAGTAGATAATCAGCCCAACCCCAACTCTAATCTACTAAACTTCGATAGTCCACACCTGTCAAAAGCAAACATCATCCACTGCCATGCAAATCCAGCAATCTGCTTATTGGATGTCACGGATTACTACTGGTCCTAGCTAACTAACGAATCAACTATTTCTTTTTCAATACTAGGTAACTAAATGCATTAAGCTTGCCTATGCACATATGCACACACTAATCAATCGTGTACCACCTTCACAATAATGTGGGGTCACACATATTCTTGTTGCTGTGGTACATCCACCAAGTGACACACATATGCAATGCATGCAGCCTGCAATCTGTGCATTATGCACCCCAAATTTCAGTGTGTGGTTGTGCTGTCAGTGGAGGTTGTCTGGCATAGCAGGCTCCTCCTGGTTGGTTTATGTTTGTGTTGGGTTGGTCTTATTCGGGATTGATACTGATAGGTACTGAAGGTTGGAGCTATGAGCACAGGATTTACAGTTAGTGTGGTATATAATTGTCTTCTACATTGGTTAGTGGAAAGCAAGAAAGGCGGTCTACAGGAAATGGAGTCATAGTTTATTCAATGAAGCAAAACTATGTTGGATTTTATGAGAGCTTATTTTCTGGCGGTAAGCAAGTAAAAAAAGGAATGACTATTGATACCAAGCTCCCAGGTCATCTCAAACCGTGGGTAAGGATGCAAGCACGGTCACTCTGTTCTCAAGAACTGCCGTCACCCGAGAGGTAGCCCATGTCCCGCAGCCGGTCTTCATCCCACATAAAGAGCATGTATTGTGGGTGGCCAGAACCGGTGAAGAAGAGGCTCATCTCTTGATCTGGATTAGCAGGCTGTTCCTCCGCGATCTCGTACCAGAGACGGTGTGGGCCATTATCCTCCTCGATGAATACAAACGGATCATACATCCTTTTGAGCATTGGGTCAGTATTTGGAGAAAATTTCTGCTTATTGAACTTGGGATCGCTGTTTTCTAGCTTTCCCCAAATGGCGTTAAGTATTCTCTCGCCAGCAGCCCTCCAGCACTTGAAGCGAAATTTTTCTTCATCATCCAGTCCTCCATGATGCCATTTCTGGCCCAATGTGCGCTTGAACGCCAATCCTCCTTCCAACAGATAGTTGCAACCTTCTTTCTCAGAGAAAGAGCGGAGAGAGCTTTCCAGCTCCACATTATCGGCAATGCACCTCGCTGCATCATCATTGTGGAGAATCTTATTCACAGTTATCACCTGATATAGCATCCAGCCAGTGAAATTCTCTAGGAAGCTCTTCCAAGGAGCATTGGCTTCCTTGCGAGTCATAGTGTGGCGGGGTATGGTGGTCATCGCCTGCAATAGAATATCATGTATGTAGAGGGCACGTTCGACTCGTAGCAACTCAGTCCTAGAAGCAGTCCTCGACGTGGGCCTACCATGTTTTCCTGTTTGTCGCTCAATTGTGTTTTCAGTCAAACTTTTGGCATAAAATTGGACGAGGGCATAGAACCACAACATGCTGCGGGCCTGCTCCTCAGATACTTCCTGCTCCAACTCAACTTTGTGGGTGTTGTAACGGAATAGGAGAGCCGTGAGGCCATAACTCTTGTACCAGTCTGGTTGGACCATGTCACAGTGGACATACGCGTAGACTCGGATCTCCTTGGGGATGGTGTTGTACATGACATGTCTCATCCAATTGGCTCCATAGGGTGCAATTTTCTGTAGCATTTGAGGACATTCCTTTTCGATGAGAGCATGCACTTCCACGGCAGGAATATCAAGCAGAGTGATCTTGTTCCGAATGTTTTTGGGAAAGTCGGAGAGACCTGGTCCAGTAACTCCTGGGTTCACCGCAGAATGACTTGACGCCATTTTGTCAGTGAAGGCGCTACTACGTTCCCTTTGTAGAAGTTTTTTGTTTTCCGAGGTTTGTTTTCTGCTAATTCCTAGGCGATAGAAGATTGAGGCGTGTTGCTGGGAAAAGAAGGAGACCTCTATGACTACTTGCCTCTATTTATAATATTTCGAGGGACTCGCGGGGAGTAACAGCAAGTCTTGGTTGAGGACATGCTAAGGAAATATCCATATTGAAAACTACATGACGGTAGTTCCCATGAGTTGGTCTTCTTGCTGCGTGAGAGAAGTGGAATGTCCCTGAGTACTATGGAGCAGCGTTGAATGATTGCATCGGAAACAGCCAGACATTGATTAGGAATAAGACTTCCCGTGAGCGCTTTCCAGGCATGACAAAAAGATAGAAAGGACTAGCAGGTGCTACCACTATTGCTTCCACACTAGGAGAGGAATGTATGTCTTGTGGAGACAACGAAGAGGCGACATCAGGCAACATTACTCAGTCAGGTGACTATTATAAAGGAAGGGAAAGCACGAGTCTAACAAAAGCATACAACCTATGTATCAATCAATCAATACTACTAAAACATTATCCTTCCCCGAAAAGTGGACCCCAGGCACCCGAATGGCCATTGAATCTCCCCGAACAAAGCCCTTTCATCCACCGGGCTGTACGAACCCCTGCGCATTCCTGCATGAACCCTAATTTGTATCCGATAAGCTTAAATTCAAATCCTACAATGATGAGATAGACATGTCAAAATAGCCCTAAGAAAACACACATACAACATCATCCGCAATGCTGGAGAAAAATAAATCGATAGTCCCTCATTTACCCGCAGCTATTCTTTCAGCCGCAATCACATGCAAAAATCCACCTTAACGGAGTTGTATTTCCTCCGTTTCTTCAGCACCGCGTTCCCCAAATCTCCACAACCACCACCATCACCACGTCACTACCTCAATCCGACAATATGCCCTCCCTCAGAACAACCTACCTAGTAACCTACAACACCATCAACGCCCTCCTCTGGCTCTACATCTTCTCCTCCATTGTCCTCTCCCCCTTCCAATCCCCCCAAACAACCTACGCTACCCTCGAACCCTGGACAAGATGGACCCAAACAATCGCTATTCTTGAAATCCTACATGCTGCATTAGGCAAGTCAAGCCCCCCGCCCATCACCATATACCTAAAATCCCTACAACATCCCAATTCCACTCCCGACATACCACCAAACACCAATAACTAACTGCAAAGAAAAGGCCTAACCCGCTCCCCCATCTTCACAACCTTCACGCAAATCTTCGCCCGCAGCGTCCAAGTCTGGGCCATCAACTACGCCTACCCAGAGACGACCAGCCCCTCACTAGCATACAAGTACATACTGCTGGCATGGTCATTCGCAGATGCAATCCGGTATTCTTATTTCGCGGTCCTAAGTGCCGGTGCGCCTGTGCCGGGATTGTTGAGGTGGTTGAGGTATGCATGCATGCAACTTACTCTTCATTTTCTTCTTTCATTGTTCCTCCCCCATTCATATAGATAACGTGACTGAACTAATGGGATTAGATACTCCCTCTTCCTGGTCCTGTACCCCATTGGCATCGGAAGCGAATGGTGGCTCATGTTCCAGGCGCTGCGCGTTACGAATAGCATCTCTGTTCAGGCGTTGTTCGTTTTCTTTCTGTTTCTTTATGGTCCTGGTGAGTTGTTTTCCCTTTTGCCTCGTTGATGTCGATTTGTAGGTGGTATGGGATGGATGGTTTATTGATGAGTTATGTGTAGGTTCGCCCATGATGTATTCGTACATGGTTAAGCAGAGAGGGAAGACTTTGGCTGGGGGTAAGGAGAGGAAGGAGAAGAAGTGAACGAGTGGTTGGTTGGTGGATGCAGGATGTGGCTGGTTAGTTATGGACTAATATTGCGGGGAATGGATGTGGTTGGTGGTATGGGACAACTAGTATAAACGAATGATACAATTGGAACAGGCTGGATTAGACAAAATTGAATTGATTTGAAGGAAGATTCAAAACCGGGTATCGCTATGCATTTACAAACACTATGTCCAATGCCCATGCTTTTGCGCACCATTCCTCTGACAAAGAAACAACACTCCTTTCTATCACACCTAACAGATCACCGGAACGTAAACGCCTTACCAGCAGTCTCGCGCTTCTGTTTCCGCACGCCCGACGGAGCATCGAGCACCTTCGCATATGGGTTATAGCGACGCCGAGACGGGAGTCCCGAAGTAGCCTTGGGGTTGGCATTGAACACAGAGGCAGCGGACTCGTAGTTGAAGGCAGCCTCCTCTTCCTCCTCTTCTCCGTCCTCCTTGGAGGCAGACTCAGGCTGTGCTGCGACCTTGTTCTTCTTCTCCTTGCGGCGCTGTTTCTTGGATGGCTTATCTTCAATGTCTAACGAGGAGCTGGCGTCCGTGGTGGGGCCATCGATTTCCGATGAGGCAGACTGCAACTGCTCGACCGTCTCTGCGGGGGCAGCCTTGCGCTTGCGGGGGCCACCCATCTCCTTGACGGTGAAATACTTGTTTTCGTCCTCCTCTTTCTTTTCTTCCTTAACGGCGGGAGCAGAGGTAGCGGGTTTCGGCGTTTGAGGTTGAGCGGGTGCGAGCTTCTCGCGGGCTTCGGAGACAGTTCTAGGCATAGGTGGAAGAGGGAGGGAGAGACGTAGAGCTTCGGCTGAGGCAACGGCGGAGTATTCGGGAACCGTGGGGGGTTCTTGCGACTCCAAAACGGAACCCCAGAATTGGGATACCTCATAACGAGATACAGTGGGGAGATTGGCCTCTGCTGGGGATGGGGATGAGACATCGACCGCCTGTGTCGCCGGTGTGGCTGGTGTACCCCTGGTTGGCTTGACATACACGTCACGCCATTCAGGGCCTTCAGCACCCTCATCCTTCGCCTTCTTGATGACTTCCAGAAGGTCTACAGCGCGGTTCTGGACAATTGGCGTCACGGGCGACAATGTTCGGAACAGGGTGCCCAAGTCGAGCGGCATAGTGTGAGCAACCCTAAAGAGAACGTGCTTCGGGAACACACACTGCACGCCTTCATCTTCCTCTCTGGCAACCTCGTCACGCCACTGATGTACTGCCTTGAACACGGCGAACTGTTCCCGGTTGACCACAACCGAATTGCGGGAAAGGAGGTCGTACCAACCGCCCGGTCCTTGACCAGTAGCAGCATCGTAGACAGGACGCTCGTATACTTGCAGAGCTTCTTTCTTCGACTGCTCCAAGACGTAGTCGACAAGGTTGTTGTCAGGTAGGGAGTTTTCGACAAGTTCATTGCGAATGTGGTCGTAGATGTGAAGAAGGTAGTGAGTATCGGAGCGAGCGTAGTCGAACATGCCTTCCGGGATCGGCCGAATGCGCCAGTCGGCCATCTGGTAGCGTTTATCGGCTTCGAAATTGACAAACTTCTGCAGCAAGAACTTCAAACTGCGCTTCGGGTAGTTCAACGCGCACGCAGCATGGTATGTATCGAACATGCCGACGACATACAGCCCCAAGTCGCGCTGAAGCCAAATGATATCCATCGAGGAACCGTGAAGCACCTTAAGAATGTTGGGATCCGTAAACACTTCGTTGAGAACCTGCAACTCCTCCCTCCACGGCTTAAGCGTATCGACAACCCAATCCTTATCCCGAGTGCTAATCTGCATCAAGGAAACAAGACCCTGGTACGAATGCACATCGTGATGCTCCAAATCAATCGCAATCTCCTTCGCAGCCTTAAGCTCCTCCAACATCTCCTTCACACCTTCCTGAGTATCCACAAAAGTCGCCTTTGTCGACTCCCACGGCTGATAATCCACCGGCGGCGAGACACTGTACGACGAAGCGGGGTACTTCGCGGCACGGATCTCCGTCTCGTATGGGTTGACATATCCGACCGCAGAACCGGACAATTTCAACGAGTCCTTCAACGGAACTACAGCATGGGGCTTCGTCTTAAGCAGCGGCTTGAAAGGGGCGGTATCGGTGTTATCGGCCTTGCGCTCAAACAGCAATTGCGGCTTCGGGATCTTTGACGGGCCGTAGTCGTAGATGGTCGGAAATTTGGCGGGTTGCTTCTTCGCGGCCTTCGCAGCGGCAGCGGCAGCCTGATCTTGTTGCGACGGACTCAGCTTCTTAATAACACCAGTAAATTCATCCAAGCACGCGTCGGCCTTTTCCAAAAGCGCATCGATAACATCCACGACACCGCGCCAATTGTCTTCAAGGGAATCTTCGTCGTCCAGAGTCGGCGCGGAAATATCGGTCCCGGCGGTGGCGGCTTTCAGGATGGACGAAGTGAGCGACAAGAGTCGGTTGCTCTGCTCGTCCAAGGAATCGGAGACCTCTGCGTTAGAGGTGCGATGGAAATCGAGATCTTCGGCTGAAAGTTGACCGGCGGTGCGCGTCACCTGCATCAGGGACGACTGCACCTGTTGCTGTAATGAGCCGAAATCTGCTGTGGAATCCATGTTGAGAAGCAGAGACCAGACAGACAAACCCGTTGGACTCTGGCGGCAGCAGCAATGGGAAGTGGACTTGTCTTTCCTGGATAAGAAAAAAAAGCAGTCGGAGGTGGAGAAAATCGTCGCGTCGGTTGATACTGACCGCCTGCTTGAAAAGTACTAGTGATCATCACGGGTGATCTCGAAGATGGATTACATAAGGTGCAATGAAGATGATCTCAACTGGAAAGCAGGTTTCATTTACATGCACTCGAAAATATCAGCATCTGGTCTTAGACAAGGGATAAAGTCATCTATCTCATACCCTTGATTATCTGTGGAAGGAATTGTCCGATTCATCCGACCCAAGATGTCAGCATCAATCGCCCCCGAGTGCAATGATATCAAAGAGTACGACTCATTCACCAGCACACCCCAACACATATCTAACATCCAACTAACAATTTGAGTAGAAAATATGATACATGCTTCTTGAAATGGTACAGCGAAAGTAAGTCTCAAGTCCCTTATCCCAAGTAAGCATATAACTCACCAAAGACCCGCAGAGTACCTCCGTGGCAACACCACCTCTAATGATTGCGACGAGCTTTTCAAGAAGTACAGGGCTTGTTTGAATGTATGACTCTACTCAAACCAGCTCTCAAGCTAGCTACCTAACTAATCTCGTCTAAAAGCTCGCACTGAAAGAACGGGGTATCGACACCATGCTTGATGATGCTCGCAAGAGTGCGAAGGAGAGCGAAGCTGAATACACGCGGAAAAGCTGATGCGTTGTGTTCACGATTTTTTATCAATCTTTTCTTTCGTTTCCTTTCGTTCCTCTTTCGATGTTTTTTTTTTCTTGCATTAGGGATGTTGGTTACGATGGACCTCTCCTCTCCGACGACATAGGGTTGGTCCAGAGACCCCGCCCAGCGAAGCATTCATCTCATTTCATCTTATTTTGTGCTGTATCTGACTCTCCTATCGGGTGTTTCATTGTCGAGAGAAGACGAGTCTACGATTGTATTATTAACACATGTCATTTTGGCGTTTTGGGTGCATCTCTCTAGACGCTTTTGCTATCATGGCAGGAGTTCTAACTGTCTATCTAGCTATGTTGTACTATATATGAAGCATATACTGAAGGTTAAAGCTTGATCTTGCAACCCGTCTCTATATCGTGTATCAACATTATATACTAGATTATTATCTAATGCGACATGAATCATATACTATCGATGCCCTCGCCTCCTCAATTCGCCTTGGCCAAACGCCCCTGGAACCTTCAGTATCCCATTCGCTGCAGTTCCCATGCCTCCAACCATGGACGAGGAACTGCTGCTGCTACTACTGGTCTTGCGAGGCTGTGTCAGCATCGACCATACCTCAGTCATGCTCGCCCGGCGCGCAGGAAGCATGCTGTACTGCATGCCGTACAGGTTGCGTCTGTGGATAGGAGGCACAAAGCGGCCAGTCACAAGGCAAAAGATGACTTGTGGGGAAAGATAATGTTTCCGTAGGCGATGACCCAGTTGGAAGTACTGATCAAACATGGCACGGAGAGTAAGAGGGATAGACTGTTCAAGTTAGCATTTGGTGGCTCAGTGGAAATTGGCTGCTCACCTCGAGGTGAATATAAGGCACAGTGACACTCGACTTGCTTGTCGAGGACTTGTCGTGCTCTTCACGAAGTTCGAATCGTATCCCACCTGAGAATGCAATCAGCTAATTGGCCTTCGATAAGACGTGAACGTAACGCACCTGGCAGTCTCCGTGAGTCCTTGACTCTGAGCATCAGTGCAAAAAGCGGGAAATGATTCAAGAATGCCAAGCAGGTATCGAGAGCTGCCTTAAGTGAAATGATCAACATCCGCGCGCTCGCGAAGGCGAGATAGAAGACGATAACTGTGGGTAGAAGGAAGAAAAGAACGGTGAACAAGATGGTCCCAAGAAGTAGTTGGTCAAGATCGTAATCGCATGAATCTATACGGTTGCGAAGCACGTTTCGCTTCTTGCCGCGGAAAAGATGGAAAAGCGAGATAATGATGGTAAGTTGCCAGTTAAAAATCCGGGCAGATGCGATGTAGAAAGAGTAGATATGCACTGTCAAAATAGATATGAGGTCGGAAAACAGGGCAATTGGCATACTTGCCCCGGCAAAACTGGAACAGCCGACAACGTAAATAATATGTGGTAGGTAAGGTTGCAAGTTGGCGATGCAAGCTTTCATCTAATTAGCCCAAATAAAACATTAGGAAGGACAGGGAATCCAAGCTTACCCGCCCAGTTTTCAATGACCCACAAGAAAAGGTCACCCAAGAACGCGGCGAGTTCGTTATTGAGCTTAAGACCAGCCGGCCAGTCCATGAGCCAGGAAATAGTACCCTGTAGCCCTTCCACTGTATAGCCTGTCAAGATGAAACTGATCTGAAAGGCGACCCAGTTGGCATTGTCGATAATGTATGACCCTAGTGCAATCCCAATAATCACATCGTTGGCGACAAGCCACAAGCTGTTGTAGAAGCGAATGTAGTCCGGATGACTCGTAGTCACACTCTCCCAATTATCTTTCCTCTGGCGTAGTTTCACATACTGTATGGGCCAGTAACAGAACTGCTGTAATCGAATATCCACCTGCTGAGCTGTCGCAGATATGTCTTTCAGAGCAGCGGCATCAGGACGAGCGCGCCATTCGAGAATCTGCAGGACAATCTCTGCAATCGTGCGGTGGAAGACAAGCCCAACAATGAATATGCGGGTAATTACAGGCCAGATCCACTGCCAAAAGACATAGGAAACGCCGAGAACGAACAGATCCCATAGCGTAGTAGCGGATTCTACAACCCGCTCACCCACACTCATGCTTCTCTTGACACGGATGCCTACCAAATGGCTATTCTTCTCCATAAGCTTCCCCATCTCATAAGCGCAGTTGACCTGGTTAATGATGAGGGGGAGGGCCTGTTCTTTAGACGACGGAACATGCTTGACTACCGTGTGGAGCTTCAACTTTTCCACCAGCATTCCAGCTTGAGCCTTGTCCGACTCCTCTTCGGTATCAATCTTGTCGGATACAGCATCTGACTTATCCGAGCCAAACACCTTGTCGCCCAATGCCAGAGAGATCGGTTCCAAAGACATGTATTCCATCCTGGTAGGATGGGGCCGATGAAACATGATAACCTGGACAGACAAGTTTGTTTCCGGCGGACAGAAGATCCGAGGGACCTTGCCTGACGAACTCGTAGTAACATAGAGATGGGACGGATTGAAAGCCGTTGGCGGATCTGGAGAATTAGTCGACCCTAGAACATGCATAGCCGAGCGTCCGCATAGAGCGAATATCCGTACGATAGGATGGGGGCTATTGCGGAAAAGAATCCCCGCCCGCAAAGCGTTGTCGACATTCCGGGGCTATCGGCCAAATGTTAGCTGCCTCTCGCTCCCAGCATGAACACAGTATAACCCAGTTTTACCTCCACATCTTCCAAGACCGTCAGAACAAAAAAGTCCACCTCTGAATTCCGCCATCCAACAATCACTCCTGGCGACGATGACCGGGGAAGATCGTATGGCCAAAATACCCGTAGCAATCCATCGCTCATGAGCATGTTGACATCCTCCAACCACAATCAAAAGGAGCCTCGACGGCGTAGTTGTTCGCGCGCGGAGACGCCCAGGTGCACGTATCGAGGGTGCTAATCAAGAATATCAGCCTTGTTCGGGATCTCATAGCTGTATGGCCGTTCCGCAACAGCACGGCAAGCCAGCCACCGCGATAGTAGCATACCAATTCACCCTCAGTCGCAGCTATGTGATTGATAGGAAGTACGAGAAGAAAGAAGAATACTGATAAGAGGAGGAAACCCTTTGCGGTCCGTGTCTATTGTCGAGGGAGAAGTTAGCCCGTCCGTTGTTCAGTTACCGCGATTGCGCGAAGGAACAGGTAGCAGAACGAAGCATACCACAACGCCGTGATCCCAGGCGAATATAGCCAATTCGTATAGGCGAGTAACAAGATCCCACCTCGCGGTGATGTAGCCCGCTACGAAGATACCGAGAGTGAGGATGGAAAAGGGGTGCATGAATCAAGCTGTCCGGCGGGTGGTCGCTTCAGTTTGCGCGCATTGCTGAGGGGAGTGAAGAGGGCTGGAAGCGGAAGCGAAATTGCCGAAAAAGAGTGACGATCGCACAAGACAGGCTGACAAGTCATACAAGGGGAGATCAAAGACAATGAGAGCTTCTCAATCAACCGGCAAGCTGAAAGTCTCACGGCACGGAGTGGGCGATGGGGAAGATGCGGACCGCAACCCTGAGGCGTCTAGATCTCCGCGGTCCCACGTGACTGGGTATACATCTATGCTACTACACAGTACGGAGTAGATAAAGATTTGAGGCATGTTTTTGTATTGTGCTCCTTAAACTAGATTTAACAAAGAAATTCTTCTAATCCTTTACCCATTGACCCATGACAACATACAAATAATCCCATTCCGAACTCCCAGCCGCTATAAACCCGAATGGCAGCAAACCCATACCCATAACTACAGAGCCTTAATGCCCTGGAACACCTTGTTCGCTTGTAACTTTGGATCACTGTTGACAAGGTCACGCATGATTTGGCGCTTTTCTTCAACCGTCAGGTCCTTGCCGGGTGCCTCAATTGCTTCCTTCCACTTCAGCAACATGTCCTTGAGGAGAGCACTTCCCTCCTCAACTTCTTCCTGGGAGTACTTGTCAAGTGTCATGTTGGACTCTTGTCCCTGTGCTCCAGAGGAAGTGAAGTCCTCAAGCTCGTCTGCCTTCTGTCGCGCCATGTTGACCACCTTCTCCGGGAAGCGGACCAATTCAGCGACGTGAATACCGAATGACTGGTCACAGATGCCCGGTTCGACGCGGTACAGTAGTGTGACCTGGTCCCGCTTCGAGTCTTTGCTCTCCTCATCGCCTGTGCCATCACCAATAAAAGCCACTACATGTAGGTTCTTGGCCGACTTGGGGTAGCGATCGGCCAGGGCCGTCAATTCGTGGAAGTGGGTTGCAAACAGGCCGAAACAGCGAATCTCAGTGACGATGTGCTCTGAAATAGCCCATGCAAGGCCGAATCCATCGTATGTACTAGTTCCGCGACCAAGTTCATCGATGATGATCAAGGACTCCGAGGTCGCGGACTTGAGGATGTTTGAGGTTTCAAGCATCTCGGCCATGAAAGTCGACACACCCTTGAGCTGCGAGTCACTCGCACCAACACGAGCAAGGATACAGTCGAATATAGTCAGCTCCGCCTCGGAGCAGGGCACGAAACAGCCCGTCTGAGCCATCAGCGCAATGACGCCAATCTGTCGGATATAGGTCGATTTACCACCCATGTTGGGACCGGTAATAATGAGGAAGGAAGACTCATCACGGATGAGCGACACATCGTTGGTGATGAATGAAATATCATCCTGCATTTCCATGCAGGGATGCCGCGCCTCCTTCAGGATCGTGTTTCCAGTACCGCGCGGGTGAATTTTGGGGCGGACATAGGGCGTAGGGGCGTGTACCGCACAATGCGCGAAGCTCACAATAACATCGAGATGAGCTAGAACGCCAGCAAGCTGCTCCAGGACAGGGCAGTAGGAAGCAGCTACACCAACGACCTCGCTAACCAGACCAGTCTGGGTACGATTGTAGTTGGAAGACAGCTGATCGTGCTCACGACGGAGCCCTTGCATTGTCGAAGTCGTAAAGTAGACACCGTTCTTCTGGGTGGAGCACTCCTGGTACTCTCTCTTGTTGCGGATACAGCCTGCCTCGTTGCGAGTCAGTCGGAAGCACCAGCCATGCACACGATGGTTCTCCAGAAACAGCTTCTTGTCCACTTCTTGGTCCAGATCCCGGCCCACGCGACGGTGTTCCGAGTCCATATCGTGACGCAGCTTATCCAACTTCTTGCGAATGATGCGCAAGCTCTCATCGAACTCCGGCTTGATAATGAACTCGTGGTTCTCCAACGCATCCAAGTCCACCGTCGTCTCAACCATCTCCTCCAGCTTCGCCAGGTTATCCGAATGGCTGCGCAGCTTAGACGTATACTCCGCTTCCAGAGGCGTCTGATACTGCTCATCCATCACATTCTCCAGCGATGCAACAAAGCCCGGCAGGCGAATGGCGACTTGATACACACGCACGACATCCTCCAACGTCGCCTGCTTTCTCTGGAACCGCTTCGCCAAGCGATATAAATCCGGGATCGAGCGCAGATGCTCCTCCTGCATCGTCTGCCGAAGCTCCGTGTCCATCACAAACGACTCCACCAGCTGCTGTCTCTTCTCAATCTCAGCCTTATCCATCAACGGCTGCTTCAACCACTGCGCCAGCAACCTGCTTCCTACCGGCGTCTTACAATGATTCAGCAACCCGAACAGACTCATCGACTTAGATCCGTCCCGCGGACCCGGCATGAGATTCAACGCCCTCAGCGCCGACGAATCCAGCTTCATGAACTGTGACAGATCATGCTGATACAGACGATACTGGCCAAAGTTGGATGGATCCGTCATAACGCCGAGGTACTTGATCAGCGCCGCCGCGGAACCCATTGCCAACTTCAGCTCAGTCTGCGGCAGCGTCCCCGCAGACCTCTCATCCCTCAACAACCTCGTCAAATCCTGCTCAATATCCCTGACCCCAAAGTCACCACTCTGCCTTTCCGACACGGCAATCCCACAACTGTCCATAATGTTCCTCACCTTCCCCAGCTCCACATCCTTCCTCCCGGCGTCCATCTGCACAAGACACTCCTTCACTCCCAGCTGAATTACCAACGACTCCAGATTCGAATAGACATCATTATCCAAGAACTCACTCACACCAAGCTCCCTAACACTCGCATCCGCAAAGCAAACCCCCACACTCCTGGCCTCCCCGGCCTTCGCGGATATCTTCACAGCCAGAATGATCGGTGCCCCGGCCTCAATATTCAATCCACCCACACTCCCCAATTCCTCTTCCACATCCTGCAAGTTACCGGGACTAGCCTGCTTAATGAGCTTCCACTGTCCGCCGCGCCCGCTCGCAGAGCCCCAGATCTCCACTCGTCGATTGAGTCGAAATAGCGCCTCGCGCAGGAAATTGCGGAATACAGTCACGCTCATCGTCACGGAGGGCAGGCCGCCTGTGTCGCTGCGGCCGAGGTTGCGGATCACAGAGGTGGTTTTGTAAACGGTGCGAGCGATGAATTCGGCTTCGGCGCCGTGGGCGGAGTACCAGTCTCCGCGGTCGAAAACTCGAATGGTCTCATTGTTGTTGTTGTTGTTGTCAGAGGAGGAGGAAATGGAGCGGTAGAAGCGGATGAAGCCGACTTCGTCGTCCACCTAGACAGAACAATTAGTCCAATGTCAGCCGATTTCTCTTCTTATTGATTTTTAAATCGGGCGGAGCTTACCTTGAGATCTGGTCGAGATGACATGGTGCTATAGTCTATCTCCAACGAGGAAAGAGACTTGTGCGCCTGCTTGTCGGTCGTTGGAGGTATGGGCTCAAAGCTAAGCTGCGGATAGTTGATAGTTGATAGGTATGGCTGCCGACGCGCTGCGGGAAACGCGGTCACGTGTATACGCGTCCGCGCGCGGCCGGGTTGATTAAGGGATCTGCTGCCTGAGGTATGGACATGAAGATGGGGAAAGAATACACCTGGATATACGGATAGGAAAAGCACAGAGTCATAGTCTTATAAGTTGTTTTTATACTATCATTACATACATATGCTAATGCTACATACCGCTGACAATGCAATCATAATGCCGGAGGCATACCAGGCCACCCGGATGAGGTATCAAACAGAACATCCATCCAAACGAAAGACACAGGTGTATCCAACGTAACCATATCAAGCAGCAGAGACGACAGTCTTCTGCGCCTCAGACCCTTCCCACCCAAGCTTCAACTGGGCCACCTTGGCTCCAATTTCCTTGGGCTGGACATCCGCACATGACTTAAGAACCACAGACTTCATCTGATTCACCGTGACGAGATTCACCCACCCCCCGGCAACATCCTCCCGGGCCAGAATCTCCAAACAAATCTCCACCTCCCGCTGGGAAATCGGACTCCGCACAGAATCCCGGACGTGCTGCGCAATCATCTCGATCCGGAACGGCGTCCGCTGCGCAGCCATCACGGCCTTCGCTCCGGTCCCGACATACCCAGCAGGTCTCAGCAGCGCCAAAACCCCCGCAACCTCCTCCACGCGCTCCGCAGCTGCCCTCCTTAACAGCTCCTGCTTCGACGGCGGCGGCGGCAACGTCGCCTGTCGCAGCTGCTTATCCTTGATGCGCTCCAGTAGTCCCTTCCGGCGCGTACTTGCCGCATCGATCGGTTTCTCTGGCACATCGTCCTTCCCATCCGCACGTAACTTTTCCGTCTTCAGTCGAATCACCCCGCCCCTCAAGTCCTGCAACCGTTGCTGTCCCTTCCGGAACGTGGTGAACGGTGTCAACGACTCTTGGATCGTCGCAACGCCCAGCGTGTTGACGAAGTCCACCCTTGATTCGTCTCCGTCCACCGCATCCAATGCCTTCTCCCAAAGCAAATCCACGCTCTGCTCAAACCGCTCTTGCAATTCACTCTCGCTCGTCCGCTCCTCGCCCTCCCGTACAATTCGCTCCAAACACACCCTTCCCAGTCCATAGTTCGCAATTCGATACCCGGGAAAGGCTGTCGATGATGGCTCCTGGTCCAGAACCCAAATGAGTCGTTGCAGATCCTTAATTACCACCTTCCGCTTCTTCCAGAGTCGTTCAATGGTAGGGAGCAGTTCTCTCAGGTCGGCAGGGGCAGTAACACCATTGTGCATAGCATGAAGCGCAACAGCCTTCAGGAACGCTCCATGCAGGTTTACGAGATCCTCCACACATGCTGCACGACGATTCACAGGAGCTGGCTTTGTGGTTGTCTTCCTAGCACCTGTGCGTTTCGAGGGGGTACTCGGCGGCTGCTCAGGAACAGCAGTAGCAGCCGAGCCGCTCCTCCTCACTGACACCGAAGACCGTGCATAATGTCCGCTTCTAGGCGTATTCAAGGTCAATTCTCCCAATCGAAGAGACTTGGAAGGTGTGACTGCATCCGTGCTTTCCACTCCTTGAGGGCCCCGGCAGTCGACGTTTTCGAGCTCGACCAGTTTGCGTTTCTTGGAAGGCGTGACCGGGACATTCGTCGTCGTTGTCGTAGCGGGCTTCTTGATATCCGATAAGGAGGAAGGAGCTACAACACCAGGCTTAGTCGCTCTTGCGAAGCTCTGGATGCCCGGTTGCTGCTGCTGTTGCAGGCCTCGGGCTGCCTGCCTTGTGGAATAAGTGCGCGGCATCGCGGTTTCCGATTATTAAAATGAGGAAATTAAGGGATAGGAATCCTATTGGCGTATCATAGAGTAATTATTAGACAATTAGACCCTTTAGATAAGATATGATAGAAGTAGTAGTGGTGTACGTATGGGAAGTCTGGGGAAGAGAGGAAGAAGATAATATGAGTGTTAGAGAAAATCCACTAAAACGGGGAATGATTGTTCTTTTTTTCTTTAAGGGATGGGACAAATGGATGGGTAACAGCGGGTAGCGTGGATTTTAGGTGGAGTTCACGCGCGACGCGATCAAGGCGCGTCTGGTGTCTTTGGCGTATCCGTGTTGGCCGGAAAGGGTAATATTAGTTTTTGAGTTGGAACTTTAGCTGCGGGTCATGATCACATTGACTTTTGATGAGTGCAGAAAGAGAATTATATCATTGATTCACTCGAGAGAGAGATTGTTGTTCTCTCAATATTAGCCATACTTCCGTGGTCATATATGAATAGAATGAATGTTGATATCTCTCACTAGTCTCTACAGCAATAATCAGCCTCGGAATGCAGCATACCGGTAACCCCCCCTCCCTCCCCCCTCCCCGCACTGTTAGTTAGTAGTCTAGACCAAGTGCTGCAGATTGGGGACGGAGGTATGCTCTAGAACGTTGCTTTTCTTGTCACTCTCTCTCTCCACTATTTTTGCACTTTGGTTGGGTACGTAGTTGGCTAGACCGTAGTCATCCAACCTTACTAACTAGATCATATTCTGGCTCCGCACACTACGTAACTATTCCACTACACCATATTCAAACCTATACAGACACCAATATCCAGACATAGAAGAGAAAAATGGTAAATAAATGCATCATTCATTAACATAACACCATCACCTTAACCCAGATATACGTAGTTAAGTACATAAACAACATATCCAGACAAGACACACAACTCGTCATTCTTATCATCACGATAATTATAAAAGTAGAGAAAAAAAAAGATGCATATTAAAACAGCATCAGCATCATCATAAAGCCCAGCCCAGCTAAGCTCTCATTCATTTTCCAATCAACCACCTTCCTCCTCATCAATTATATGAATCACTTCCAAGAGGCTGTAAGATTATTATTATTTCTTCCCTCCAAACCACCCGGACACCGCTCCCTTCGCCTCCGCCGCCTTCTCCTCAACCTTACCCTCCAACTTCTCTGCTCCTGAGCGCAACTCAGCCGTCTTGTCGCGACCAATCTTCTCCAGACGGTTCATGCTATCTTTGGCGTCTTTGCTGGCGGTGTCGATCTATTACCAATCACACAATATCATTAGCATCCATCGTGTCACATCATGGGATGAAAAAGAAAAAAATAGGGTATGGCATACCGCCTCATCAACATTCAACCGTGCCTCATACGCTGCCTTTTCACCTGCCTTCTCGGCTTGATCGCCTGTGGGTGCCTTGAGACGGGCAAGGTGGGCGTCATCTATAATACCATCGAACATCCAGCATTAGCAAACACCCATCAAACGACGAAAAGGAAAGAAGAAGTGGCTTGGCATACGTCTCATCTCCTCCTTCGCAACCTTGGGATCGCCTCCAGCGCGGTACATGTAATAGCCACCGGCGCCGAGGGCAGCAATGCCGAGGTAGAGGGCAGTAGGGTTCTTCGACATGGTGGATGTGTATGTATATGTATGATCTTCTTTGAGGTATAGAACAATTCGAATGGTATGCTTGTTATTTGTTTGCAGCTTGAATGAAATCCGGTACAGGAGGGAGACAACAGACAGGTACTTATAGATTGTAGATGAGTTGAAGTTGGAAATGAACTTTGGTTGTTAGGCTGGGCAGAGAGAAAGAAAGTAATGAGTGCAAGTGGCTAACTAGGCAAGTGTCACAGGGTATGACGTCTTTGGGGGGTTAGGGTCCGGCTTCGGTCTTCTTCTCCTCTTGTCGGGTGGTGCAGTCGGTTCTTTTTTATTTTATTTTTGTTTTCTTGTTTGTTTTACTTGTAAATTTTTAGGTGTTTTTGCTTGTGCGAATCAGATGATCTGGGTACTTGAGTTTATTGTAGAGGTTTTGTAAGTCGATTATTTCTCCCATATATTGTCTCTGTAGTAGAGGTATTTGCAGATAGCTACAGAGCTATGCTGTTCCGGCGCGGCGAGAATCGGCTGCGGGACCGACACTACGTCACTGCAAGGTCATCGGGTCCAACGGCTTCCATGACCCAACTCTTCTTGCTTCTGACACAAGTACTAACGAAGGACATAGGGTAGATGTTGCTGGAGTGGGCTGGTGTAAATCGAACACGTCATGATGGGGCTGTTATCTACTTCATGTTGACTATGTAGTAGTTACCCACCAGTTACAAAGTACAACTGGAATGGAATTGAATCTCTGACATTTATCACTTTACCCGCAGCTGGTTGCTAATTGAATCCTCACTGTCGCAGAAAAAAAAGACACATATAATGAAATACACAGAGGGCCACACTTGGACACCATAAGGAGAGCGCAATGGATAGATATAGACAGAAGCCGAACACACAATCGAAGCCACACCACGACCAGAGTAGGAAACTCCTTCCATAACCTCGTAGCTGAGCTCGAGATCAAGGCCGGGGGTATCTTCATGCACTATGGACAGCAGACCGGAGGTGATGAGAACGCCAAAACATGCAACCGGACAAAAAAAACCAAAAGACAAAGAGAAAGAAAACACCCGAACGAAGACACAGCAATTGTCAGAGAGCCCATATATCGATCCAACCCACTGATGCATTATTCGTCAGTCATCACATCATAAAGATTCCCGCAGCCGAGCGGTGGTGTGCAGCTCCGAGTAACGAGAGGCTAAGTATCTAGCAATCCGCAGTTATATCAAGAACAAAGAAAATGTAGAGGATCCCCCAGAAAGAAAAAGACCGGGCGCCCCGTACTATACAACTCCGGCTCGAAACAAAAGAGGAAATGGCGGGAAAACCGAGAAAGATCGACTTCAGAATTGAAACAATTCAGAACCCCTGCTCGCAGAGGACATCCCAACATGTTCACACCACGATTCCTTCACAGAAAAAGCTTCGCTGCGCTTTTGTTCTCACTCGTGGCAACGGCAACCAGTGCCTCCAGCCGACCCATTCCAGGCTCTCGGGCAGTGTGAGGCAGGAATTCGGACCGTGGATCATGTTTGCCGTGATAGCTCTCAGTCTGTGGGGGAAGCGGGGGACAGGCCTGCAGTTCAATCAGTGATTTGGCCCTCAGCGATACTCCGGGTAACGGGTGCGTACTGCATGAGAAGTATCGGATGAAAACGGGGGGTGGTGCGGCTCCACATATCCATTGTTGTGCACAATGGCGGGGTGGTATTCCAGGGACGCCGTTGAGGGAGTATGTACCCCTTCACTGCTACTGGAGTCCTCAGGCGAGGTTCGCGTGGCCTGAGAGCTCGAGGTAGCATTGCTGTAGGAAGGAGCATGCCCATGTCCTCGGTATTCGTGGAACTGTGGTTGGTACGAAGACGAGGGGCGAGATCCCACATTGTGAATCTCTGCAATGGTCTGCTGGCTCCAGTTCGATGCGTCCCGCTGTGGAGGCTTGTCTCTGATGTGCAAACCAGTAAGGTTCGTGTGCAATGACATGTCCCAAGAGACATGGCCCCGTCGGTGACCAGGGCCAGAGATTGGCGGCGCCGGTCGTTTAGCGGGCTGTGTGTAGTTGTAGCCCCCGGCAAGGTTATAATTCGGAGGAGGCTTGTTAGGGTTGTCGATTTGCATCGGACTCGACCGCCGAACGGGCGGTGTCAAGGGCCTTTGAGCCACCACCTTATCAAAGCTCTCAATTCCAGGCAGCCGCGGTGGCTGCTCTGTTGATCCATTGGCGCCAAAAGGTGGCTTAAACACTTCTGGCGTCTGATAGTTGCTAAGACCGCTTGTAGCAGGCCGAGGGACCGTAGACCAAGTCGAAGGATGCCAAGTCCTTCTCCGGAGATCAGCGTCAGTAGCACCGTGGTTTGTTTCGTCGCGGGAGAGTGAGTAGGACGAGCTGACAGGGCTCGCGTAGACGCCTCCATGAGGAGCATACGCTTGCGTCGGAACGTAGTTCGGCGGGTAGGCATTGACGTGTTGCGATGCGAACGGGTTCGCACCCGTAGGAACGGAGAGACGGCGGGCGGCAGTTTTGCCTTCCCAGAAGCCTGAGGCCTGTGATGCCGTAGAGATGGGGGAAGCTACGTGGGGGCTGCCGTTGCCGCCCGCTGAGAAGATGTGGTGAGACGGCGTGTAGGGAGATCCGCCGGCTGCTGGACCGGGTATTCCACGGGCTGGTGGCGTGCTAGGGGCGTCCATCGGCTCCATCAGGCGCGCCCTATCATTCGCCATCATCAAGGGTGGAGGTCGGCGACGAAGCTCCTGGGGCTGACTGAAGGTGGACGCGGTTGAGGTAATGCTCGAGGCAGATAGGTTTCGACTGTGACCTCTGCTATGGGTTCCCTGACTGCCCGCGGTTCCTGCTCTAGCTCGACCTTGGGGTCGTACACGGTCTGTCCGGATCTGGCGCTGGAATCGTGTTCCAGTGGCTGCAAGAGAGTCTCCAGGGATTTCCTCGTTGACGTGCACCGTCTGAGCATGCTGTCGCAAATTATCGAGACGGGAAAAGCGACGTGAACAGTGACACTGAAACGGACGTTCTCCGGTATGTTTGCGGATATGTCGAGCGAGATGTTCACTTCTTGTAAAACTCAAGTTACACGGTGGGAAGTCGGTGCAATAGAATCGTTGACCCTTCTTCTTTTTCGAAGGTGGAGCGCCACCCTTATTTTCCGCCTCATGTTCAGATCCTTCATCTGACTCACCGTGTACAGCATCCTCTGAGGTCAGCGATGCACTCCCCTGGGAGTCGGCATGGTGATGTGAGTCTTCGATGCTATTAATGTTCCGAGGCGTGCTCTCGTCGTGGGCAGCGATCATGGACGATGTCGTATCTTGGGGCGCCGCGCCGGGCTTGGCGTGAGGGCGAGGTGTGGAAGATGTTGTCGCCTCCTCCATGACGCGGTCTGGCGGCGATGAAATATTATTCACAGGTAAGAATGAAGACATATTGACAGCGAGGGCAACCCTCGACTCCACCGAGTAGTCTATGTACTGTTCCGAAAACCAGGCAGGCGAGCGATCGACGGAATGCGAGCTAGAGCCGTTTCAAGGGTGAAAGATGGAGGTTTCAAGATGTCAAAAACGCGGTGTCGATCGCACGATGCTGACTACTGGATAAATGTGCGCAGCAATGTAAGCAAATGAACCATCGTGTTTGAACATAATTTCCGTTGTGAATAAATTTTACCACCTCAAAGAAGGCGTAAACATTACCAGCAAGGGAGTAGTGAGGGGGATCTTTGTGGTTTCTGGTATCGGGCGAACGAGGAGGGGGAGAAAAAAAAAAGAATTTTGGGAAACTTACGAAGGAGGGGAGGTAACTCAAGGTGTTTTGAAATCCGAGCGAGGGGTTGAAAAGTGAGGAATGTTGGAGACAAATGGCGATGACCTGTTTAGCCGAATGCCCGACGAAGATGGCGAAGCAAGGGTAGCCAGGTTGTACACGATAGATGGAAGGGCACGACCATTAGGTGTGAGGACGCATCGCTCACAGATCGACCTGGCCGAGAGGAGGTAGGGACAGCTGGTTGATCGACCGACAGATAAGACTGGTGGACTGAACGGGCAGAAGGATACGATGACGGAGAAGGGAGGGAGGTGAGGTTTAAGGCAGGTGTATCGGTGATCACTAATAGGAAAAGAGGCGGCGGCGGCGATGGAGGATGAGGACGTGGTAGTTGGAGGTGGTCAGCGGTGGTTGTTGTTTGGGGAGATTTGGCGGACTCGATCGAGTTTCCCGCCGACGTCGAGTCCTGGTTGTGGGTATGACAGTCAGGACACCGACCCAGCCAAGACCTGAACTAATGGCAATAAAAATAGGTGTATCGCGAACCGATCGGGCCCCTGGTTTACGGATCGTCCGGGGAGAAACCAGGCATGCGCAACGGAAACAATAAACGGAGAAGTCAAATGAAAATAGAACAGGATGAAAAAAAGAAAGAAAAACAACAACAACCGAAATCAGAAACTAAAATGTGATATGGATTGCCACAAAAAAACCAAAGATTGTATAAATCATATAAATAGTATAGGGACGAAACCAACCACGTCCAAGCTAGGCTGGGCACTAGTAAGCGATGATGTACAGGCACCAGGGCCACGAGGGGCGGTGATGGATGGGAAGGAAGGATGAGGGGAGGGGGAGGGGGATTTGTTGGACAGGAAGGGAAAGGAAGGATGGGAAAGAATGGAAAGGGAAGAAGGATGGACGGTCAGAGGGTGAGACGGGAAAGTCAAGTAAGTAGGCGAAGAAAAAGAACAACAAGAGAGGAAGAGGAGGCTGATGGATCCCAAACTTTAGATTGGAGGGAAGGGAAGGGTGAGAGTCCATACAAGTAGTAGTAGTAGTACTAGTAGTGTGTAGCCTGTAACCAGGGTGAAGATGACGGCAACCCACCCACCCCAAACAGGTGAATGGTGACGACGATAGTGCCGGGCGTCAGGACCCCAGCCAGAAACACTTCAGGAGTAGATGGAGAAGCAACTGGAGGCTTATCGGAAACAACGGTCGATTCGGCAGCGGACGGCGAAACGAGGGGGCACAAAGAGGAAGAGTAGTGTGATTGTGAATAGAGAGTAGATAGTGGTAGAAAGAGAAGAAAGAGGAGGTGAGAAGGGAGAAAGATGAAGAGAGAGGGAGAAGGTCAGAAAGACGAAACAGGCGTCAAGAGGAGGGGGGAAAACCGGTGGAGAGAGAAGAAGAGTACTAAGTAGTAAGTAGTAATGGTGGTAGATAGTGGTAGCGGTAGTGGTAGTGGTAAGTATAAAGTCGAATACTCATCCAGAAAGAGTAAGAATCCTTATTTTACTTAATATTTTCTTCTCTTTTTCCCCCTTTTGGGTACCAGACAAATTTACCCTACAAGAAAGAAAGGGAAAAAAAACCACCATCTATTCAGACTACAAGGCTGAGTACCTTCGGTCGGGGGTACAGGGTACTTAGATAGAGAGCGGCGACTTAGCCAGTCACCGCCGCAATGCTACGTACGATCGTTGGAGAGGAACGGATAGCGCCTGAGTTTACAGTTTGATCAACATGACGGTGACGATGCGGATTTGTCCTCTATTGAGTTCGGGCGAATAATGAACTCACCGGGGGGTTGAGAGTGAAGGTTGATAGGTAAACTCTTTTAGCCCCAGGTACTGACGACTTGGTCCGGACCGATGGACACGAATCATCGATCGCAAGACCGGTGGAGATACTCCAGTTGGATGAATTCATGAGCCAGTCTCGCCGACGGTTGGAGCCTTGGATTTGCCTGAACGATGGGAAAGTTGGACTGTAGGATTCTGTTTCATCGAGTGGTCATCGGTCGGCAATCCCGGGTTTATCCCTTCCAGACACATAGCAGGGAAAAGAGAAAAGAAACGAGAGATACGATAACATCTACGAGGCAAAGTACCTGATACACCGATATGGCGAGATTGGAGGTATCTAATATCCCAAGGAAGACAGAAACATGAGAGAGGATGGGCACACCGAATCAATACCGCTCGTACGCGCCGGTATGAACCCCGTATCAGGAACCCAGCGCTTAGCAATCGCCAGAGAAGGAAGCGGGCAACAAGATGGGCTGGCTTGCGAAGACCCTTCCCAAGGGTTTGAACACCTTCCCTCGAGAACCCAGAACTAATTCGGATGAATGGGCTTCTTCGAGGTTGTTTCTCGGTAAGGCTGGCTAAATTGGCCCCAAAAGAAGTTCTCGGCCCAGGTCTGTCTGGAGCGGTGCCATGGTCAGTCTGGATCAAGGGTCCTTCTTGGACAGTTCATATACCGGAGGAGGCCCGTCCAAGAAAAGAGTGGTGAGTGGTGAGGCACCAGGCACTGCAGCCAGTGGGGCACCGCAGAGGGGGACACCGATCGGCTACTTTT